GATATTCACTGTCCGAGTCAAATTTACCTTGGTTGGCTTTTATATTGGGTGCATTGCTGTTTTATTCTTTATATTTAATCTTAGTCCTATTCAGTATGTTCCCCAGCTTTCCTTTTTAGGGGGGGTGTTTCAAAATTTAGGGGGGGTGTTTCAAAATTTAGGGGGTGGTAAATAATTTGCTATTAGAGATAATACTAGGCTATTTGTATTCTTAAAAAAATGGTATGTGTTTAAGAAACGATGTACATGGGGGCCCCGCAAGCCAAAATTCACAGCAGAATGAAATTGTAGGGCCAAAAAAGGGGAGCGATTAAAAGTGCGGGACGACACGGCTGGGGTTCAGGGCGCGCTTAAGCGCTCTGAGAAAATTTTGAGAAATAGGCACCAAAATAGGCTCTAAGCTTGATTTTAGATACACCTAGCATCGCAGTTTGTTATGTAATGAAATCAATAATTATAATATTTAGCTGATAGAATTCCCGGGGAATAGATAACGAGCACGGCTTTCAACCGTAAATATATACTACTACGTTTCAACAAGTAATTTGCAACTGATAGTGACTAATGAATTAAGTTACTTGCTCATCTGGCATTGTATGAATGGCTACTTATGGCTTGTTTTGTTACACATTTCTAATTTTTTTGAACAGGTTTGTTGACTTTTGTATGAATTAAATTTTGAAATACGCTCGTCAACTGATCATAATGTCGCATAATGTTGTATTCCTTCAGAGCTGAAATATTTTGTTGGTAAGAAGACAAATCGCTGAAGTTTGATTCTTTTCAATAAAGAAATAAAAACGCTGTCATTCTTCTAAAAAACGTCTGTTTTCAGTGTCTAGTTTTCGTTTTGTGACATCTTTAAGCTTTCTTAATATACGGCTGATATCTAAAATACCGCAGTGTGTTATCCTAATACCCATACGTATACATAAGATACCGGAATAATTCAATTGTTACGAAATAAACGTGCTTAAACTGTGATAATGATGTAACAATAGACGGTATCTAAAACTCAAAAGGTACCACATGAAGGATTAAACTATTGCACTCAAGTTCGGCGGGCCATTTTAAATCGTCACGCGGGCCGTAATTGGCCCGCAGACTGCGGTTTAGAACCCCTCAGTGTGGAATCGCACCTCAGAATTAGGAGGGGTGTTTGAAATTTTAGGTGGGGTGTTCACCCCCTATAGGGGGGTGTAGGGAAATCACTGGTCCTATTTCGGTGGGTGTGCAGAACGTGTTATATTGATGAAATATATATTTTTAAACATGAAAAATGATGTAATTGAGACTGATTAGCTATTTTGGGGATTAGACATTGTAGATACTGAGAATTACATTCGTTTTTGGAATGTTTAGTTTTCAGAACTGGTGCATATAGTGAAGTTGCAAAATTGCGTATGTCACCAAGTCATAGACACATTTCTGCCTAAGTCACAGTGCGCCATTATGACGTCACTTAACTGCGTCATACAAATTAACTTAAATCCGGCTACGATCAAAAAATTGAACCATGGCAAATTATTGACTCTCAATTGCAACACAAAATCATTAGGAAGTTTTTTACGTTTTTCTCAAAACTGCTAAAAATGACTTACGCAATTCGGTTATTAGCGTGACGATATGTTAACCATACATGCCTTAGCTGCAAGTGTGCAATTGATCCGCCCGATCGATAAAACGCTCAAGGTAAAACAAAGACAACGCATCATGGGTCAAGATGAAGTTTTAATCATCCTTATAAAATGAAGAGCAAATGACCATGCTTTTGGATCAAGACCTAATCGGAGTTAGACGGTCGTCTGTCAATGGTGTTCATAGCACGCAGCTTTGGTTAACGCGAAAAAGAGTCTACGATTAGTGCATGTCGAATACCTTACCGAGCCTTGGAAAGCCAAGGCGAAGACATTAACTGTGCCAATAGGCATATCGTACTTTATGCCTCCAAAAATCGCCTCCTGCTTACCCCTGAGCCAAGCTCTTCTACACGAACAACTATTAAACTCCAGTATCAGGCCTCGCCTAGGCCACAACTTTTCATTATATAGATTTAACTTAATGCGGTTTTGAGTATCCGGCTATATATTGTCTAGCAGCTCATATTCATACAGCTATCAGAGTTGACAACCGACGGGGCATTAGTTAGCACTTTGAAAAGAGCAGAGCCGGGTCTAGAGCGGTGCAGGGAGTCGTCATAGCCAGCATCACTATTTGGTCTGATCAGTGGTAAACTACACTGCGTAGGCCGTAGGGCATGCGACGACCATATCGCTTCGCCTTCAGAAAAGTGAAAATGGCATTCATCCATACAGCGGAGCCGCAGGCAAAGACTGGTAGTAGTAGAGCTAGTAGAGTTCTTTATTGAACACTTGGTGTACCTATGGATCGTTTTGTAATTTTGTTGTTCTTGGTATTTTTCTCCTTATCGTTATGAAAAATAGCCTTTCTTTTTAACTACAGAACCAATTGCTTTGAAATTTCCAGTGGTTAAAGATTGTTTTTTTCGCTTGGAGGCTATCACTTTTATTTATTTCAAATATTTCCGTGATCTCTATGGGATTCGATGTTTGTGTGCCATGACGTCACCAAAATGTCCGCTAACGCATATCAGCGGATCTCGTGCTCAGCGAACGCCAGCGGATCTCGTGTTCAGCGAAAGTGGGAAGTTTGTTTTTATGGGGAACGGTAGACTGTGATCTGATCTGAATGGCTCATCATCACAGGACCTGGAAAACATATAAGAGTCCCTGTATTCTTACCAGTAACCAGCAGGTTACCGCATATACCGTCATAACTTACAAATAACAAAATTCCAGAGCTCAACGACTGGGGCGCGCTCACTAAAAACATAGAAAAAATGAACCTTTCCCCGACCTTTGACCCCCGAAAAATTCTTCTTATACTTTACCATTGTAAAATACCATTGCTATTTTAATAGTGCTTTTGCGAGTTGACGCTTGTAAAATGTGGTATGTGTTTCAAACCATCATTATGATTCATCGCATCCAACAATCTGTTTTTTAAAAGTACCGGCCTAGAATTTTAGCCTAGTCTATCACAGCTATTTCTACACTAATTTTTTTATTACTGCAATCAAATTAAAACTCCTAGGAAGACAGAGTGATCATTGAATTACCTGTTTTATATTTAGGTTTCCGAAACACAGCTTAAAACTAACGAATAGAGTTCAAAAACGCGAAAACGAGGTAATGTTTACGACCACGCTTGAAAATGAAGTGAAAACGAGTGAAAAAAGTGTCTGAGCGGATGCGAAAAGGGAGCATTGTTACGTTACTTTCTGCACCTTGCTGATTGACCAATGTCACGAAGTAAAGTCGATGCTCGGGGAAAGGTTCATAGAGCGACCTGCGGGAGAACTCACAGATGCCATATTATTGGTAGGAATAGTTGGCTCAATTAAATATATTTGGAACTCGTGTGCTATAAAGCATGGGAATAATACTTGCATTAGTATCAAATTTTGGATAAGAAATCAGTTCATTTACCCAAATATAAATCTACTGCGCTTTCAAAATTAAATGATCATCGCAAGACTGGCATAGAAAATAGACGTAACAAAAGACTTTTCCAGGAACACAACCAATTGTCCATAAAAAAAATGAGGGAACATTTCTTACACTTCTTTTTGTGTATGAATATTGAATATACCCCAAAATATTGGAAATATCGTATGGTACGCTTTGTACAAATACTTTTGTACCTAAATTCTTTCTTGGCCCTGGAGACAGACTCACATCTTCCGCCAAACATTGTCAATCGCTCACTCGGTTCTATGCTAAGGCGCAATTTTGCTGCTGTGAGGGCATGTCAATAGTAACAAGAGAGTTATGCTCAAATAAATGGACACGTAGCACCACATAATTGTTGTTAATTGTTGATGTCATGGCAAAAATTAAAAGTAATAGCCCTCTAGCAAATAATCTTCACTCACTGAAAATTTCAAAGCAATTGGTCTAGTAATCAAAGAGAAAAGCGACTTTTTTAAAATTTGTCCAAGAACAAAAACAACAACAACATAATATTTTGAAACGATCGTTATGTCCACTACGTGTCCAATAATGATGTTAACAAGGTAACAGCATCTCCAAAGAAAGTCTGACAGAAATCGTTACATTCGGTAAAGTGCATGGCATGGTTATGCATTCTGAAACATGGCATTATAGGTCCGTATTTGGTTCGAAGACAAAAATGAAACAGGTCAAACGGTGAATGAAACGTTGTGTTGAGGTACTAAGGTTTTGTGCATCCCGTAGAGTGACGTGAAATGTAGCCTGCAGAGAGGGTGATCGAGATGACAGCTGGTTCAAGCACGACAAATCGACCATCTTCACATAAAACCACACCCAGGACTAGATGAGAAAGCGATTTCAGCAAAGGGTGATCTGCAGTGACGTCGAGTGGGCATTTCATTCGTCGGATTTGCACCGCATATTTTTGGGAGCTACAAAAGTATGTGCATCAAGATGGCGCACATCCTGAACATAGTATGTGTTCCAGGTTAGGGTTCAGGCTGCGCGCCCTCTAGGTGCACATACTTCGGAAGCGCTCATTTTTGTCTGTGGGGTTATTCGAAGCACAATGTGTTACAGAACAAACCCCAAACAATTGTTGAACTCAGGGCTGCAATTGCAAAAAATCAGAGAAATCCCCATAGAGGTGCCTGCGAGTGCGAAAGCGAATTTTGCGCAGCGAATGCAAGTCTGTCTTTTAATAAAGATGAGGTCATTTTTAAGCATATTCTATAGAAAACATAACTTTCATTCAAAAATACGGTATTGAGTCAATCCAAGCAAAGTTAATTGAAAATATTTTTAACTTTTAAGAACGAACGATTTGAGTGCTTTCTAGTAGGAATTTCTACAATTGAATTTTTCGAATGCGGAAGGAATGGCACGTGTTTTTGAAAATGTCGAAATGACTTGCGGTCGTTATCAACTCGATAGTCAATTGCGCGTCTTACATCAAAAGTAAAAAAATGTTTCTGTCAAAATTTTATTTTTCAATAATAACAAAAACGTAAATATAATGAAAGAAATTGAAAACGAAGTCACAGATTCATAGTTGTAACCTCTGTGGGTGTAGTGCAATCAGCTAGTTCCAATAAACTTGATGTAGAAAACGGTTCAGAAATTTCTGTATATGACTCAGGAATTAGAGTTGCAGACATTTGGTCATAATGTTCGTCTGTAACAACACTCGATAAAGGTGCAACTGGATCTCTAAATACAATAAAAAAATAATAATGAGTTTAAGAGTTAACTGAGAATACTTTGTTACAGTTCGCTTAATTTATGATTAAGTGTGACTGCAGTAACGGAATTGTAGTCTTATGATTTTTTCTATTGTTTTTTGACCATGAAAAAATATGAGCATATAAAAATTTATGTCTGTGTCTTACCCATTAGTCAGAATATGATAATCCGGTGAAGTTTGCGCTAAGCTTGTAGGAGCAGCTGTGTATGTTGAATTGAAATTTGTACCAGAACTGGTGCATGTATACACAGGCCAAATGCTAGAGTAGCTGAGATTGTTATCTGGATAATATTGCATCGTTGTAGTAGGAACTTTTCCGTGATCTAAATTTTCTGTTTCAGGGCTGTAGCCTGAGTATGGGTATACGAGTGTATGTTCGATGCCAGAACTGGATTCTGCGCCGCTGTATCCAGCGTAACTTGCGGTGGCGTGATATGTGTTTTGTTGATAGTTCAGTTCCTGAGATGCGCACGTTGAATAGATGTTGTAGTTTTCTGCGTAAGATGCTTGTAATGGTGGAGTAGTCGTGTTCACCTCAGACGATGCCGTGTAGTATGGAGTCTTTGGAGAACTATCTGTGGTAAACACCGACGTCGCCGGATAGGAATGTACTGGATATTCTTCATAAGCGAAACTTTGTGGGAATACGGTAGTTGGATAATGATTAGTTGCTTCTGAAAAAAACGTGTCGATTAGTAACAATTAAAACGTCATTTTTCTTACAATTTTATCAATTTCTTTGCTAAATTCCAGTCTAAAGATGTATTGACATAATTGTATCAAGCTGACGGCATCGTCAGGCAATCGGAACAGCTTCTTATATTTCATCAGAAATCATATAAACACGTTGTTCTTTTATTCATCAGCATGATATAGTAAAAATTTGATAGATGGTGTAATAAACAATGGAAAAAATATAATACAAGATAAAATTACTAGTTTGAAATCCGAATCAGTACATGGGTTGAATTTATGAAAATTACCTGTAACAGCGCCATTTTGTGTTGACTTGCTTGTTGAATTTATTGAGTATGGTGCACTACGGTTCTGACGGTAAGAAGTGCGAATTGCGCCTCGATATACATAAGCATCACCGCTTACTGGGTTCATATTCGTTGTCGGAGGATATACGTTGGTATAAGGAAGTGCTGTCATAGATTGGGACTGCCAGCTATTGACTAAACGAAAAAATGGAACATAAATGAATACTGGTACTTCAATATGTCAGGCCACTTACTATATGTGCCATGCTGTACAATATAATATGAAATAATATTACTGCATAGTTTTTATATACTTACTCGGTGGATTTACACCTGAATAGTTTGAGAAATCGGTGCTTTGTTCTGGCCTGAAATAAAAAAAAATGAGTTAACTTTAGAAGACCGAACACGACTTGTATAAAACTTACAATTATTGAGAAGGAGCAAACTATCAATTCCAACAACAAAGAACATATTTTTTGCGATAACTATAGAAAAGTAGCGAGTTTGACAACGTGTCAAGTGAAGTAAAAGTATTATTTATTCTGTTTTTTTTTTGCTCTGTGCAAAACGAAATTCAATCACATGACCACTCTACACAGTCATATTGTATATCTGATCATTTAAAAATGTTTTGAAGTCACAAAAAGCTGTGGATAATGTCTTATTCAATAATATTACAATTTTATCCGTACCTTTCTTTTGCGTCGAGAAATGCTTTGGCAAATGGATTGTGCTTAATTTTCAAAGATGTTACCTGAAATACAAATGAAATGAAAATGTCATTTATTGCATGAGATTATTTGCTAATAAAGGCTGGGTCTATAGTTTTCTTACCTCTTCGTTCTGATAAGCTGTCACTGCGATAAATTTTGTCTCTGGGAATGAAAACGTGGCAATTGTTCTTTGTGCCCCTGCTTCTCCTCCTACCCTCACAACATGAATACGTGGTTCATATTTATGCAATGAGTTGAGCATGATTTGCTGAAAAGGAATGCGAGTACTTTCATGTAATGAATGAAAATGATTTTGCATGTTTTGTTAACTAAATTATCGGGTCGTGGAATGTGGCTATCGAGATGTGACCTATGTTCTCAAAGCTTTTTTCCGTTATCGCCAACTTGAGTATAGGATTGTGAAACCTTTCAAAAATATTTACCTGTCCACCACCAGTCCCTTTGTTTGTTAATTTTACTTTGTTGAAGCTTATTGGTTGTTTCATCCAATGAGATCCGAAGTTGGGGGAATCAGGATGAACATAAACGCATGAAGGAACGTGAGGTTCAGGTTTGCCACCTGGAATCCATTCACCATTGACGTACTTCCATCTGAAAAACATAGAAAAGGCTTCATCGAATGTTCCAAAATACACGCTGAAGTGGGTAAATGTTTTTTTTTAATATAGCATACAACAAAGATGTACATACTTTAGATAGAAAATTTATATTTCAACTCGTATATGAGGCAGATTTTACAAGTACGAATCAATGACTATTTTTGGGAAAAAACTGATAAAAAAGCTTTGTATACAACATATGCAATTAAGTTATAACCTTTTTTATCCCTCATCTTTTTATGCAAAACTAACCTGTGTGAATCAGCAGATGAGAAGTCGAGTAAAATCGAATACATGCAATTGGGATCCAATCCAGATGCACTCAATTTGAGTACTGGAAACATCCTGCGGCCACTTTTTGTCACAATCATCTCGTTTGTGAATGAGCAAAATTTTGCCCACAGAACGCGATCGTTGAGTGTTAGCTAAAAATAGCAATGATGAAATTTAAAAATGTAAATAATAGAATGAAAATCTTTCTTGTGTGTGATCTGCAAACCATGAAAAACTTACAAGTTTGGGAATTTTTTGTAATATTTTATGCAACTCTATTGAAATTCCGTTATGCAAATTTGGCGTTTCAAAATATTCTGATAGATGAATAATAACAGAATATGAATTTTAAAATAAAAAAATATTTTCTTTTTCTCATTTAACAAAAAGTTGCATATTCAGTAAAGAGGTATTCGCTAGGTATCTTATTCGCTATAAAATCAAGTTGAATTATTCCTATTCGCTATGAATATGTGTTTTGTTTTTACTTACCTTAACTTTACTATCTGCATTACTGTTTACTTCAGATAATGACGTCATTGTGTATATAAAATTTTCAAAATAAAGAATTAAAATACTAAAATATTCTGTTGAAGGATAATGTATACATGTTAAATTGAATCTTGAATAACTATATTTGGACCAAGCATTTGTAACAGATAAAAAGAGTTCCGGTGTCTGATTTCTATCTAAAGCCCATGCAGAAACTGTTGAGTAAAAGAATGTAATATTAATTGTTTATAATTTAATATCTGTACATGTTCTGAATCTTACACCTTTCTGTGATCAACCGCTACTCATCTTTTAATTAACACCTGTCTAAAAAATCTCTATCTCTCGTGCGAATTTTGAGTTTAGAACTTAATATATATATTTAGTGCGATTTCTATCACTCAGGTTTGACTATCATAATTTTCGACTACATAGCAATAACAATATTATTACTATCAACAGCTTGTTCTCAAGGCGTATCGCACAAAGACGCTACTCAGCAGTGAGGTTCGAACATTCGCACACTCTTGTCATTTATCAAGTAAAGAAAAAAAGTTTCCTGGTGAACTCCATAACGAGATCCTTTTTCCTAAGAACATTTTAACACTTACATCAGAAAATTTTCACTTGGATGCAATAAGTAAATCAAGTACAACTATAAAGAAACTTTCTGCTAGTTTACATCTTGTTGATTAGTAACAAGTAAATGTGAATGTTTGTGGTTCAGTCGATTTTTATTTAGTATTTATTGGAGTTTAGAAATTGTCACCCGCTGGTATTTGGAATAGGCTCTCGTACACGCTTATTTGCATTTCATCTATTTGTTTATTTAGTATAATGTTTACTTAGTGAATAGGATGCTTTAATTTGTCTCTTGTATCGGTCCTTCCTCAATGTTGTACGATCGAGTCGGATTCGCTGCGGGATTCTCTCTCTGTTTACATTTTTTGTCTAGACTCGAGCGGTAAATGGGAATATGATATTACTACATCCGGAATTTGAATACGAAATAAATTTGAAATAATTTTAAAATAATATATTTTTCATATTTACGAATGTTAATAATTTGTCACTTTTAATCAATCATGATTAAATTTTCAATATTCATCGTAGATTTGTTGTTGATATTAAATCAATTGGAAACCAAGATATAGATTTAGAACGAATTATCATGACAAAAGTATATATAAAAATGTTGTTCTCAATTTCGCGAATGATTTACCATTTTTATTTGCCATTTGTCGTTTACAAATCGACTGGATGACTATTTTTTAAAACTAAAATGAGAAAGCGGATTAGTAAGCCTAAACAGATTAAAGAATATATAAGATAATTTTGAAAAGTGTTTTGATGTGTTGGATGAGGTCAGGAGCAACCATGATGTAAATTTGGATTGAAACCAAAATTACAATCTATATACAAAACAATGGGTTAACGGTTACGAGTGATACCCAGGGTTCCCTTATATGATATTGCCTCACGCCTCGCATAAATAATTTGCATGTACCTGTATTATATACTCTAACTGAAATATGATGGAAAATATACATCAATGTATTAAAACCGTATATTTCGTGGTATAAACACATGTTTCTATTCTTTTATAAAATGTATTAATATGTTCTAATATGCTAGACTGATTTTTTTATATCGATTTATTTATTGTCAAGTTATATTGTTTTATGCTTATTATATCATTTCGCCTATTTTAATAACAAAATTACGGCAATTTTTACCTGAATGCGTGCTACAAAGATTATTATCTCTCTGAAATGAAGTGTTAAAGTGAAAGATTTGAATATATTTCGATACAATATTCATTTGCACCGAGTTTTTGGTAGTAAGTGATTAGTGTAGTAGTCTCAGAATTGAATATTTCCTTTATATTATATTGGAAGTACTTTGAAAACTAATAACTGATTAGGAAATATTTCTTCAAAGCTTTTATTAAACTGAGAACCGATTGAAAGTTAACATTTTCGAATAGTTGCGAATATTATCGAAGTTAATCTTAAAGTTACAGACAGATAATATTTAAAATAAATAAACGAACAATTCAAGCGATATCTTCCACGATATCATTGTGTAATCTAATTATCTTATCACCACAGGATAATAGAGACGTATTTACTGTTGCCACTCGCTGGATTATAGACATTCAAAAGCAATCACATCGCAATTCATAGTCAATACAATGGAAGTTAGTCGGAAAATATTACGTTCACTAATTAAATATTCGAGGCGATCATCTCATTTGTCATTGTAGATTATCTTGCTTTAAAATAACAGCGGAAGTTGTTACGGATACTTTTTTTTATTATATATATAAAACCATAGTGATACCATAGACGAAAATTTAGTTTTTAAAAGGGAGGGAAATATCCAGGATTATTCCACAAAAAGACAGGTCTTTTGGAACTTATTCTATATAGAACATATCTTTTGTACAAAGTGTCGCAGATCACTGAAATATTTGGGTACAATCAAGCACAAACAGAAGTTCCGGTTATATAATTTATTTTCATTTTCGTGGAGGTAATTAATAAATATATGGATTCAGTTTGTGGTCACCCTGTATATATAACCTAACCCGAATCCGGTGAAAATCATTCAATTTAGACTAGATGGAAATTTATCCTGTCAGGGGAATCGTTGCAAAAAAAACGCAAGAAGTTTCAAAACTTTCATTTGATATAAGTTCCGATTTGAATCGGTGTTTGGTTGTGTACTATGGCCATCCTGATCAGAAAATGTACTAAAATACATTTTGCGAAGCGAAGTTACTTCAAAGTGAATACAAGATTTTGCGAATCTTTCACACCAGGGTGACGATTTTTATGACGTCAACGTGACGTACGATAATCAAATACATTCATACAAATCCCACCATTTCAAAGTCTTTTCTTTTAAGATGAAGACAGACGACATTTTATTGTGTATTATTTTTAAATAGTCAAGTATGGTGGTGAGACAAAAGCAAAGTTATTCGTCTGTCAGATGACACAAAGTAGATTTCGCTAAAGCGATGGTCTTCGTCTGGCTAAACTGTTAATTAGAGAATGGAAAGAAGTTGAATTGCTAGGCGATATATCAAAGTTGGAATGTACTGTAGTGTTGGAAGCAGCGAATCACTGAAATCGTTCTATCGCATCATGTTTTAAGTTATAGACACTTCAAAATTTGATTAAAAACTGACGCATGCCTACATAGCGGATTGGCGCAATAAGCCAGCGCCGTATTTGTACGAAACGCACCATTTCAGCAATCTTGTCTTATCGGTACGCTCATGGACTTTTTTATTATTCGACTAAAATCCAATGTAACCTTGCTTCTGTTGTGAGTGGTACAAAAAATTATAAAACCTTGTTTCAATTTTATTAATTTCTTAATAGATAAGAGGCAGATACGTTTATTTTTCTATAAATAGTAGAAAATAAAGTAGTAGTAGAATATTCTAGGGTATGCTTGGAAAGCATGTTTTATAAAACGGCAATATATAATGGCATGCAAGTGAAATAAAACAGTACATTTGAAATAATAACATCACACAGATCGAGGAATTTTATGCAAATTCTACGAAAGCGATTTTGTGATGGTCTGGACTAACATTGATTAGCTGGATATTTGATCTCTTAATGGTTTTTACACAATATAGAAATATAGAACAAAGTCATTGGTCAACGTTGCCAACCATTTTGCCTGAGTTGCTTTTTTGGTCTGAATGTTCGCATGCGCGAGGCAAACTTCTTGATTAGTTAGTGTTTGTTCAATCACATACAGGAAGAAATACAAGGTAGACTGAACAATAATATGGCAAGTTATATAAAAAAAAAAACTTTGTCTAGAAAATTGTCCTGAATAAATATTTCATATAGTATTCTAAAAACAAATGCTGATATATAATTGAAGTACAGTGAAGTGAGTTGAATAAATACAATGGTTTTCAATCACACATAAAAAATCATGAAAGTTTGTAAAACCAAACGGTTTCATTGATACAACGCTTGATTCATAACCCTGTTTCAGCAAGTTGGCAATATTTCATAAGGTAAATCCACATAAGTAGCAGTGGAGTAAGATCAACTATATATATGTATGTATAAACATACACTTTGTGCATAATAGAATAAGTTGTGAACTTTAAAAATATAAAATTGCCTAATTAAAAAATAATTCTTCTATTCATTCTTTTCAAATGGTAGAGGCAGTACACGCTTTCTTCTTGATTTCACGAAAGGTATAAGTTCTTCAAAAAACAGGCTTATGTTCTTTGATAAACTCTTTTTACTTTTGACTGTAGCAGCAGAGGACGTTCTGCTGCTTTCAGGCGTTTTCTTTCCTACTTTCGGTGACGGCGTAGGTGATCTGTTTTGTCTTAGAATTAACTTAACAGGGGTAGTCGTGTCTTCTTTACCCCGGGGTGAAATTTTCTTCGCCCGCTTTGTGTGGATTTCAAACATTTTTGGGGTTGGCGGGGTAAGAGTTGTTGTTGTTGGAGCTGGGGTGATATTTCTAGGAATTCTTTCCTGCGGCATATGCAAATTAGAAGCACATGAAGGCACAATTGCATCTAGTGGAGTTACTTGTTTATCTTTTCGGGTCTTTCTCATTTCATCGGTCTTTGTTTCGTATTTAAATTCAGTTAACTCAAGTTTTGGAAGCCTATGTGCAGCAATCCATCCTGTTCTCTCTGTGCGACTCAAATCTTCCGAAGAAGAACTTGAATTTGAGTCATCTGAAGAACTTATGTGTATTGCAACTGAAGAGTAATAGTTATCACTTTTACGTCGCGCTGTTAAAAATTGTTTTCTTGGGATGCGATCAAAGCAATTATCCTGCACTTGTGATGAAGTGTAAGAATCAACATTATCATTTGATTTGTTTAAATCAGAGATCGGTTCATAAGAAATCTTTGTCTTATCTTCTGTATCGATATCAGTCGGTTCTTCTGAAATATCTTCATGGAATAATTCAAGTATTTTGTCATCAGAACTTGATTCATCTGTGTGAGAAATGGCAGTTAAATAGAATGGTGTGGTAAGAAGTTCTGCGGTTGGCGTATAGTGTTAAGCGTCAGAAATACTGTTAAATCACAACTCTGATTACTCTTGCATAGATTCGCATGCTTAAATCCTGAGGAGGATAAATATGTACAAATGGATAGCTGGACTCCTAGAGTGGGTCACATAACTGCTGGTTGGTTATCGCTTCCTTCACCATCTAAGTCCATTCATTTGAAACAAATAACTAGTTAACTATTCCCATATGCGACATGGACTGGTTACCGAACAAGACAACCTAGTTCACCATTTGTTTATCAGCTTTGCTCACCATGAGATTTATATCAAAGACAGCTAACAAATCAAATTTTGATTAAAGATGAGCATTGATTGTCAATGCTTTGCTTTAACTTAAAACAAAGTGTATTTTGATGATGGTTTAGCGCTTCGTAACAAAATGTATTCATTCCCACCTGTCAAACTTCTCTTTGATTTTGATAGCAGTTTAGAAGATAGGATTCTTTGTCTGGCTTCTATCATCTGTGCTCTTGGTGATTTTTTGATAATAACACGACTATTATTATTATTGTAATTTTTTAATTTGTCTTCTTTTGCTGTTGATGATCTTGCTGATTTTGGTGGGTTTATCTTTAACGCTAGCTCCCGTGGTAGAGGCTTTGACTTAGGGATTCCATTTATTCTAAGAAGGTTCCTGGTTAGATAAATATAACGATTATTTTCTTGATTTTCTGCTTATCACAGGTGATTAAAAATATGAGAGACCACAAAGGCCTATAATCGGCCAAATCATTATGTATGGGTCATTGAGAAAAAGGCAGAAGCAATATATATGACTTCTAAGAGCATATTCATAATCATAATTGCATACATTTCTTGGCGATATATGATTATATAGAACAGACGTTTTCAAATGAGTCCCACAACACCTTGCAGAAGGGCTACTCAACTATTTTCATCAAAAGTCCGCTTAGAAAACTTCAAAATTACTGGGGTCTGGATACAGAATATTTTTTTCATTAAATAAACGAAACGTCAAATGATGGCTCGCAAATATAGACACAAATGTCGCATATTGGTACCAGTACGACAAACTGTATAGCTGTGTATTTGAATTGTATCAAAATCATCTAAAACTACCAAACAATGCCTATGATGCCAAAATAAACAAGCAGACGCGGTCCAAATTAAATGGTCGAAAGGTCCGAATTCGTACCGCGGTCCGTCAGTCAAGTAGCCTGCCCTACAGTTCCGGCAGAGCAGGGCTTCCTCAAGTTTCCAATAGAATCCGAAAGTTTTCATTAATATATGTGTAATGTTTAAACATAATCAATGACTATCGACACTATTATTATCAAACTTGCAACACTTTAAAGACCATTTTGTTTTACTAGGTTTGCTTTTTCAAATATATTTATAGTTCATACAATTCAGATAATAGAAGACATTCAAAAGACGAAATGTTTTGTTGGGCTTACGATCCACCAAATGGATTGAAGACCACTGATATAGAACATATTATGTATGAAGTTGTATGAAGTCATGGGGAAATACAACAATTGAGACACTGTACCTCATATGTCGCTTGTAACTGTTCAAATCCTTCAAGAAATAAGGCGTCTTGAGGCATTCTAGTCTTGCAATACGTTGTATTCGAGGCAAATCTTCAACAGTAACTTTTCCGGCGTATAATAAATTAAAGTTGATATGATCCAAATTTCGTAGAACATTCACCGCTCCTGGTGTTATAACAAATTAGTACAATTTTAAAAAAATCAAAAAAACAATTGACCATGTTCACAATGCTTTGAGTATTACGAGCGAATGGGCACAAAACTCAAAAAATTCTCAAAAAGTTAATCAAGTGTAGTATCCAGTATTCAAGTATCAAAAAAAGACTTTGAATCCTCCGCAATGAAAAAATATGATCTCTGATTCATATCATAATGCAGAGGTGTGCAACCTGCAGCCCGCAAAAAAGTGCCAATTTTGAATGAAGTTTTTAATTGAGCTTAATCTGGTATGTCCATGTGATTCCAGTCCAATTGCGAGTTCGTGTTGCAAAGCCTATACCAGAGTCTAATTTATTATCTATGCCTATGACAGGACAATGCTCTAACACCTAGCTTGTGCGAAGCGAACAATGCATGTCATAGGATCAATAACTAAAATTTTTGTGCCTGCCACTACTAGAACTCTATGTTGAAAAAGATGCGGCTCGCGGTTTCACCCAGTTATTTGTATCTGACCCTTCTGTATTAAAAGTTGCACACTCCTGTCAAAAGTGGAATCCACTGATATGCTGGTGGTTGAGGAAAATAATCAAAAATCTACAGTAAGTTGTGTGTTTCTTAATTAAGGCTTGTTCGAAGCTATCTCTCCATTTAAATATAGACTCATTTAACAACACACAACGCCAGGTTCACTATAAGTATACCTCTAAAGTAGCACTGGTCCCTTCCTTGTCCACCCAGTTGAGTGGCACCTCTACCTCTTTTCACCCTTACTATGTATTTCCATCTAACTTCTGGGTCTGAAGTATAAATGCTTAAATGATCGAATAATTCTCTGAAATTCATCTCAAGTGACATGCAAGCTGTATCTGAATAAATTGAATCAATATATACAATTACAAACTTTTATTAAAGAAATTGATGAAATAGTTGGAACTAACAATGTGAATTGAATAAAAGTGAGTACGGTATGTTACTAATTTACTCAATCTATTGTATGCAAAATTTTTATGCAATTAGGTAAGTAAATTTAACATTCAATAATGCTGTGCTACCAAATGTTACAGAATTATCAGGCAAGTTCAATAACCCATACTCGCCCATACACAATTTTGATGTGCAGATTATAACATGAGATTATTACTGATGATGAAATAATAAAACACTTACAATATAACATTGCAGGACCCCAAAGAAGTTTCACTTTGGATTCAAAAGCAGTGTTGAGAGAGGCAAGACCTTCCTCTGTGTCTTTGAGTGCTTGTGATTTAAACGAATGGAGTCCAAATTTGACACGATTAGCAAACCATGGCTGCAAACCATCATTGATACATCGAAACTGTTGAATTGAAAAATACATAAAAGGACCATTGTTAGAATAAGATAAACCCAGTTTAAATTTCATTTCATATGTAAACGAATGCTTCCTGGTATATTACCCTACCAACAGCTAGTGAAATGTAGCTTCTTTTTAAGAAGATTACATTTTAGGGCAAGATGTGCAAATCACAAAAAATACAATTTTTTCTAAACGCCATATCTACTGTCCTTCACTCGGAACAAGAGTCTGCATAAGCAGCTATTTAATTTTGGAAGGACCAAATTCTTTGGGATTCAACATTTCCTACCCAATTTATTACACCTTGGGTGAGGGAATGAGCATGGGATTTGAACCAGAGATTTTAGCCTGGGATGCCATAACGTTAGAACATTAACTACCAGGTCACCACACCCACACATTCAATCTTAGTATGAAACAGGCAAAACGGAGGTACAAAGTCAACTGTGAAATGAGAAGAAATTATCAAAACTTTTAAATTACACATACAAAATGAGTTCCAATCTCATGATTTGAGAGATTTAAAATTCCTGTTTCTCTGAAGTACATGTTGTCATTTGCTGTTTTAACCCACATTGAAAAATTTCTTCTTTCTGGCTGATTGTATTTATTCAATGGACCAGTCCAAGCCATCTTTCCGCTGAAAAGAATTCCGTTTAATGAGCTTAGTGGGAAAACATATGCGTTGCACTACTAATCATGAATACGTACATTTATTCACCCTCGTGTTGAAGCCCCAATCCCAATCAATTATACTATAGTCGACCATCAAGGTTTGGAAGTTATTTGATGCAGATTTTATGGAGGCACCATTTGGAAATGATGAAATATTTATCATCGCCTAATTGAGCAATAGGATAATTACCAGCAAGCCAAGCCACAATGAGTTTAATGTTTTCAATTAAAATTTGCGGTTTTGGGAATTCTTTATGAATGTCTGTTGCATAACAACCTGATACAGTCATGAAAATCCACCAGGATTCAGAAAAATATTATTAGAATTAGAGAGAAGAAAACTGAGAATATAATTATGTCTAAACATTGTCAGCCTCCAGGTTTTTGTGGCTAAGTTGGTAAAGGAAGTTTGTTGGATCAGCACAACTCAAATTTTATTTCATATTTTCCAATAACGAATAATGAAAGCAAATGTTAGCGAACCTGCAATCTAAATCATCGGAGAAATACACAGACATCATTCCATCAACACCATGCTCAACTAAATAGTTATGTATTACTTCACTCGCACGATTAACATCAATTCTTTCTCCATAAGCTGCTTCAATAAAACTTCCATCATTACTGTATTGATCACGCACCTGTAAATTTTTATGCAAATTTAGCATAAACAAAAGATGGTTTTTAGATGTCTTGAAGTTAAATTTGTCAGTACCTTATTCAAGATTGTGGTTGCCTCTTGGAAAAGCTCAGTTTCAACAGGAACACATTTCTTGTGAAGCCATTTCTCACTTCTGTGTGGTCGAAATTTTGGCAATGTTCCATGATTGAAAAATCTGTAAAAGTTTAGAGCAGACATGTTTTTTTCATCAATATATGACATAAGTTTGAAGTAATTAGAAATGACAATTTTGAACATTTTTTTAAATGGCAATCAAACAAAAAACTTAATCCTGACAAATTGAAACATGCAGAAATTTAAATAATAATAAAATACTAACAATAACAAGTTTTTGAGCTAGCAAATATAATCTTGACATCATTTGAAATTTACGAGCAACTACAGTGTTTTATTGTCCATAATATGATTGTCATATGATTCAGTATCGAAAGCTATTTCAATACACTAACAGTAAAATAATAATATTTTTACTTTTCCTTTTCTTCTTTTAAAATTGCACGATTTCCATTACGTTTGGTCCCATTTTTAAAAGTAAAGCGACTTGTTTTTCCCCATGGTGAATTGTCGACTTCATTCTTACGAGCTGACATATCTTCTTGACTTTCCAGGGAACTGCATCTGGTAGTCAGGCCGTTTCTGTGTTTTTAGTAAGTAAGTTGAATTTGACGAACCATATTGAATGGAATTTTACTAATCCTGTAATCAGCGTTGCACACAAGCCCGAAGAGAATATGCGGAATTTCCCTAAATTAATGACCGTGACGATAAAAGCGTAAGGTTGTAACCATGGTATCCACATAATGTGACAGGAGTCTAGTCCGGTGTAATTTTCTTGTAATAAATGACATACAAATGAACTCACCAAACATAGCTCTGCTCATCAGTAATATGCTGCCTAGAGTAAAAGAAGAAAGTATACGCCTATCACTGCATTCCGTCGTTTTACTTATTTACATAAATGTTAGGAACATGCTTGTCAACGATTGTCACCCCACAAGTTGGGTGTATGGGATAACTATACAAAACATTTATTTTTGACTCCGCCGTGGAAAGACAAAGTGACACAAAAAGCCGAAGATAAACCCAATTTAAAAAACTCAAATGGGGCACAAACATGCGGTTGCCACGTGAAAAGTACAATATGAGAAATCTTATATCCTCATTTGGTATAAGAGCAAAAACAGGACCAGACAAATCTCTTATTCAGATCCAATAACTACGCCTGTAATGTTAACTTGAAAGCCGCTACCATATCTGTGATCAGTCGGATCATTTTCACCAAATGACTGAGCGCGAGTGTTAAATATTAAAACTTCCGCTCATTCTTAAAACTTCTGTCACGGCGGCTTACCAGAAACGCGCATCATTATGTTATCTCTGGCCATCGTCGGACTTCCCTATACAAGGTAGATGTTTTATCATTATGCTACACTGGACAACAGCAAAATTGTTAATTCCAACCCAGACTAAATGATACCCCAAATTAATACTGAAACACATCTATCACAAACAGGATCACTATTTAGATACAGTATCAACAAGCACATGTTTGCAAAATCATCCCACGTCAGACATCCCATTATCACTAAAACAGTAATATAAAACACAAGGGCTACACACATTTAAATGCTTTATATTGGAAGAAAATAAGATAACGATAAGAACAATTCCTCCATTATAGGAACAATTACGCATATCTATTCTAATCATTATTTAATTGCATGTTTTTGATTGTACCCAGTTAATTATATTTGAACATACATGAATCACATAAAATTAACAAACATCAGAGACTGAAGAATTTTGAAACTACAGGACGAACAACATGTAACAATCTGAAATTGTAATTAAAATTTTAAAATATCGGAATAAAAATCAAACAAAACTTTGCAAAGATAAAATCAATTCGAAAGATGCAAGGTAAAAAAAGAGTACCATAAGTTCATGAAAATGTGTCGTATAAGTATTAATTGCCCGAGGTAATCATTTTGCTTCATTTGCTACAGAAAAATTGCTAGACTGGTGTTATATAATATTTGCAGAATAAATCCATCAAAAATCTGAGAGTTGAAAATCAGTTGCTTTTAGAGCACAGTCTAATTTAAAAACATTTTTTCATTAAAAGGCACTGACATCCACCAAATACTTCATTTATTCACTCAACTAAAACTCAAAAATCTTAATTTCAATCTACATGGCACCAATATTATTGGCATTAACCTCATTACCTTATGCTTTTGGATCAATATGAAATTTAACATTTTGAGTACCGTCACGTGAGTAAAAATATTAGAGTACTAGGTAACAACGAAATAAGTACCACTTAAACAAAAAAATAATCAAAAACTAAGTAAATGAAGAGGAACAATGCAAGTAAGTAATATGGAGTATAAGAGTAATAATATTAAATATATGACACAAGTTGAAAGGCATTTCATACATTTCACACAATGGCATTATAAAACAAAATAGTATGACAATAATATATAAGGATATATTGGCAGATTAACGTATACACAATGTTAAATTGGCAAATTAATATATAGACAATGATAAGATATTGGACCACATTTATAACCAAGTAAACTATTGCTATTTGTCAAACATAAATTGGGTTAAGTTCTTTAATGCATATATAAAAACAGACAAGTACCGGTACGTCTATACCATATTCTGTGTCCGACTCCTTTAGGGACTATTTTTTTTTAACAAAAATAAATTAAAAAAAGTTTAATCTAGTTTTAATTGAACATATAAAAGAACGGCAATATCTCGTTGACCACTCTCCATTGCAATGTTGATTGCAGCACTGCCATCCTGAAAAAGAAATGAGAAATTTGAACAATTGTCTCAGGACTGTGGAGTTTGACAGGTTTTCACAGGAGTCGTATATTCAAATTCCCGTGTAGGAGTCAAAATTTCGAATCGCCGGGAATGGGAGCTATAGTGGAAAGCCTGACTTCTATGGTGATATAAGTAAATTTTTCTTACAGAAATTCAAGACACATTGAGAAGAAACCTAGCAATAGCCAAAGTTTTGTTAGCAATATCTGATTTTTGAAGATGGAGTTGAGTGTTGAATATTTACAATCAAAATTTGAAGACAAAGTCATTTTTTTATTCAACGGCAGTCAGAGTTAAAATTTTCTATCAACCCGGACTATGAGTAGAGAGCCGGAGTCGATAGTAAATATCCCGGACTCCACAGCCCTGGATAATTGCAAGTGCAAGTAGTTAACTTTTTTGAATGAAAAAATTGCAAGAATGCTTATTTTATTACTTGTCCTACACACTTTTCTAGCCAACATGAATAATAACCAGGAAATTACGAACAAACAGTATTTCATAAAAATATCACAAGTTCGAATAAGATAAAATTACTTACATGATCTGTTATTGTTGGATCGCAATCTGGATCAGCCAGCAATAATTTAACAATATCAATATGTCCATGTTCCGTAGCACACATCAATGCTGTTGAGCCGTCCTCATCTTGGGAATTGATATCGGCCCCAGCTTTCAACAGCAGTTTTGCAGCAGGAAGGCAACCATGACTTACAGCTAACATGAGTGCAGTTTGACCTGCTCGTTTTGCATGAAGACTGACATCTGCTCTCTGAAATATAATGGTAAATCTTGTATTAGTTCGTTAATGGGATTCATTAATAGCAGTTGATTTGATCATTGTCAAGGAGGAGGGAGTTGAGGGAGTATTTTATTATGTGGTATTACATTCATTTTTAGAGCTCTGTCCAAAGTTTTGACGTATCAATTATATGCATTACCAAAGTAATAAATGCGTGAAAAATCGCGAGAAAAATTGAGTTGTCTACCGTCAGACCTGAAGAGCTAAATCACTGCCCCACTGAATTATCGCAAACTCCGGGCATATACATATTGATCGGCGATCTGTAAATACAAGGACTGGTAGCGCTATAAATGCTGTTCAGCGAATACATACAGTGAGGATACACAGGAAGCGTTGCTCAAATGTTGAACATCGCAATAAATCGAAAGTGCTTGCGTACCACTTGAAAAGCTCCCGCGTACCACAGGTTGAGAACTGCTCTAGTACTACTTTTCATCAGTAATTTAACTATATAATAAATACAAAATTAAAAAAAGCAATCAAAAATTAAAAAAGCTTACCGAAAACAATGCAGCAATTGCTTGAACTTCAAATTCTGTTTGTATTTGTGTGATAGCGGCAAGCATACTTGCAGTGTATCCTGCATTATTGTATATATCCACATCCAACTCAGCAATATCAGCAAGTGTATATACCAGTCCAAAATTGCCGTGAGATATTGCATAGTGAAGAGCAGAGTTACCCTAAAAAAGAATGATTTTTAAATACAAAAGTATATTAGAGAGTGTCGAGGCCCATTCCTAAATGTACAGACAGGGATGGCCAATTCGAATAAAGTATTCGAATGTATTCGAATATCTCGTCATTCGAATATCGGAATTCACGTTCATAAGAATATCGGATATTTGTGTGACGTCACACATTTTCGACGCCGCTTTCAAGACGTTTCCGTTGAATGAAAACATTCTCGATAGAAACTTGCGCGTGATTGTTTTCATCACTCATCAGCGTAACGTGTTATTTAGGCCCGTAAACGCCTTTACGATTGTGTTATTTTTTCTAAAACGAAAATTTTCCACAAATTTGTTCCACGATAACGATAACCTTTATTTTATTTTTGTACGCGCACGGAATTGTGAATCTGGTAAATACGTTCATCGGCGGCGAGTTTCTGAGGATAACGCAACTTTTTGATTGAAAAGCGGCAATTTAAAATACTGAAAATAAACACATTATGATTGGTCGGCGTTTAGAAACATATCGTCACTAATTGAGGGCGGGATTTGCCTGATTATCCATTACTTTAAATTGCCGTCGAATATTTTCGGGTTAACACGATACACGGTTTGAAACGCGACTTTTTCCCTGGTTGCGAGGATGTATATAATATAATTAATCTAAAGTATATTCAATCAATTTTATTGTGATGAAATAAATTTTACTCTGAGATATTTTACTTTGAGCATTTCGATCGAGCGGAGTCACTGTTAACAAGTACATCTAAATATTTGCCGAATTCGCAAAATACGGATAAAACAATATTTAATCGGACAGTTTATCTCGCGTTTTTATTTTTATGGCCGCGGATTGCAATGGTATATAAGAGTGGTGAGGATTTTATTTTGTCGACGCAACCGCAGGTTAAACTGAAGACAACTAAATTAATAAGAGCAAGACATTTTAAATATGCCGGTATCGGTCACGAATTCATCACCTTGCACAACAGAAAAATATATATTCGTTGGTATATTATTTGTTGTAAAAGTCGACTCTTTTAACAGGTGGCTTAATCGCGGCGATGAATATGTAGTTTTAATTTACTGCTAAACTTTATATGTATATTCATTGTATGAAATGAATTATTCTCTACACTTAAACGGCGATAACGAGTTGTCAAGATTGCAAAAATACGTATTAAAATTAAATACATCAGGCAGTTTCTCCCGTAATTTTAGGTCACAGATTGCCGTGGACCGAATAGTAATGTTTTTTTTGACGTAAGAAGAAGCAACCGCGAGTTATGTTGGACACATTAAATTAATATATATATAGATATTTTAGAATCTCGTAGTTGTCATGGATTGAATATTTTACGTAACAGAATGATCATTATACGCTGACAAGAAGACGGCTCTTTTAACGAGCGCGGAATCGCGGTGTGTGTTACAGGCGGCAATGAGAATTTCCGATTTCGAAAATCCTGGCTGCGCGCTGGCAGTGGTGGTCATCTATTCTCTACTAATTCATTTCTAACTCCAAACACAACAATATGTTACACATAATAACAATATGGTTCACATAAAGGGGCTCCCGAAGTATGCGAACCAAGATGGCGGACATCGGAATGTAACATGTGTACTAGGTTAGGGTTAGGCTATAATTTTAGGTATAAATACTACGGGAGGCTCTTGGCTTGTCTTTGAACTGATAATAGGACTAACATAAGGAAAATTGGAAAAAAATTATCGCTCAACCCTAACCTGTTACCCATGTTACGTTCCGATGTCCGCCATCTTGGTTCGCATACTTCGGGAGCACCCACATAAATTTATATACAAATATACTGGTAGGTAGTAGAATACTCAAGGCTTAAATATTAGAATTTTCAAAGGCATAATGGATTTTCGGTTGTTATTGCCTGTATTGCCAATAAATTTTATTACTCTCAGAAAATACACACAATTATCTGAATACAAGTAGTATTTTTGTCAATAGACTCGACTGTCATCGTAATATCATGGTACCAATGATAGAAAGCGTCAGACAACTCCTTGGCTATCTTTTCATATGGTCATTTGTACAAAGTGAATAATTTTAATAAACTGACTGTGTCACAAGTTGCTATTATTTTTTATTAATAACTATAAACTATCAATTACTTTGTGTACATATACAGTTGGTCTGTGGCTTCATTCTGATATTTCTATTGAAGCTTATTTCCTAATTTACTGGGTTTTAATCAACTAAAACAAAAATGTGTTATTTTCGATTTTAGAATGTATTCGGAATTCCAGATTCGAAAACATTATTTTAGAATGTATTCGGAATAGTTTAGTATTCGGAAATGGCCATCCCTGTGTACAGACGTACAGATTTATCAGTGAACAACACACAAAAGGAATGCAATGCCATTGCAAGTTGACGGCTATATCCCAAAGAGGTGAAACTTGAAAAATCTGTTTTAGGAAAACGAAAAAACATTCTCTAATATTTTCAAAATTTCAACATTCGCCTTTTTAAAATAAAACTTTTCAAAATATCAACATCTGCGAATTGGTCTCAAAAACAGAAACTAAATTTCTACATAAAAACTATAACAACATACCGTCGAATCCGTAGCATTGACAATTTTTTTCAAAACCTCTGAAGATATACTTTTGACCTCGAAAGCAAAATCTTTTATATAATCCGGTCTTGAAGTAGGCAATGATGAGATGGCCATCCACTCCTGCTGGAGTTTGAAAAGAGAGTTCTCCTAATGAAAGTAATTGCAATTTATAAACCATTCGGTTTTAGTACTGAATGTTATTACAGAAATAATATGAATGAATACAGATAAATTCCACTGTAAAGTCAAGTTGTATACACTCAATTATAACACTATACACAAAATTTTGACCTCCACCATAAGGAAAAAACGAGAATATCGGTCAGAGACTTATCGATCGAAAGTTAGGAGATTCCCCCAAAACAGCGCTCTTATACCATAGTGACACTTTGTGTCCCATCACTAATTAATTAATAACTCGCTAATTATACGACATAATTCATCCAAAATCAATAGGCTTATGGTCCGAGATATGATGAATGCACATGCAAAATTTGGAGCAGATTTAACCTCGCTTTCGTGAGATATCTAACAGACAAACAAACATACAGACAAATACCTATCAACATACTTATCGATAAGTAATGATACTGCTCTGTGATTAGCGCATAGTGCTGAGCGTTTAAAATATGGCTAATTTTGTGCAACAAGTTTGCTGAACTCATCGTCGCCATAGAATGGTTCATGTACAGTTGGTCGATTATGACTTCCTCTTGATCAAATCCATGCATTTGAAACAATTACCTGGTTAACTCATCCCACACTCAACATTAACTGCTAACTGAATAAGAGACTGTGATTCGCCATATGATGATGATGTTGTATAGGCTACCCTCTCCCGAAATATATATATCAAATTCATATCCTATCCACATAAAGTGTGAGTGAATTCTAACCTACAACCTCAAAAACATCTTCAAAATGATTCATGGCACATCAAAACAAAACATACATTTATGAGTCCATTTTTTCAATAACTTACCATAAAAGCAGATGATATTTCTGTTGGACGCTTTATGTGTTCATCAACATCTGTGCAAGCTGATTGTAACTCATTAGACAGTTTATATCTAAAACAATTGGAGGTATATACTCGTTTAATAGAGGCGAGAACGTAGACACAAAAGAGGACTTACAGAAAACTATTCACAAAAACTCCGTAATTCTACATAAATCTCGAGGTCACCGGATAAAGCAGATTTCCGCAGTATCTTGTCACAAAGGTATTTATTTATTTTATCCATGAGCACATGACGGTAAAAATCAAATATGTCTGGAAAAAATCAATGTGCAACTGGCAGATACAATATTTGTATCAAAACAGGGAAGGTCTAAATCATACCCGACTTTTGTGAAAACATCCAAGTCATCGGTTGCTTTGATTGGCGAAATTTCATCTGCCTCATGATTTTTGGCTACTATGGGATCGACAACAAAATCTTTACTGTTGCTAACAAAAGAAGCTGAAACATTTTGAGATTTTTCATCCAGAACGCCTTCCAACTCTTTATATTTATCTGCAAGCAATGACTGTTGTTCTTCTAATAAAGATTCAACCTGTGAACAGAAATATCAATACAGAATAGTTTGTTTAATTTGGACACAGAAAAAGAACACATAAATTTTTTAATTGCTATACAAAATGAAGAAAGTCTATTTAACACTTCTGTTTGTGAGCAATCGAAATCGGCAATTTAGGACGCTTTGCACAAAAGATACGTTCTATCCAGTACTGTGTTCTGTTTTTTCAGGGCGGCCCAGAGACGTAGACAGGAATTCTGAAGGTGAGGGTTGCGAAATTTGTAATTGCCCAGTTAGACCATAACAGCTAGGGCGTTAAGACTCTTGAGGCTTGAGGGTTTATTAAAAAGCTTTTTTCAACTTTCAAGCTACAAAAATTGCTATGTATTATACAGAAAAATGTGATTGCTCCCGAAGTATGCAAACCAAGATGGCGGACATCGGAACGTAACACGGGTAAGAGGTTAGGGTTAAGCGATAATTTTTTCCCCCTTTTTTCTTATTTTAGTCCTATTATCAGTTCGAAGACTAGCCAAGAGCCTCCCGTAGTATTTATACCTAAAATTATGGCCTAACCTAGTACACATATTACATTCCGATGTCCGCCATCTTGGTTCGCATACTTCGGGAGCCCCAAAATGTGTACTCCTGAAGTATGCGCACCAAGATGTCGCATAACCTGTACCCTAACCTGGTACACAATCTGAGTTCAGCTTGTGCGCCATCTTGGTGCGCATACTTCAGGAGGTCCAAAAAAATTTTTTTTTTAAATTGGAAAAGAGAGGGAGGTTTTCAACACGTAACACCCAATCTGTGTACGCCCTGGATCTCCCAGTAATCTGAGCTGATGAATGTCTATTAGTAATTCATTATCATTCATGGAAGAACAAAGCAACCATTTCATTTTAATCATCTTAGAGTCAAGTGACTAGGAATTCGCTAATATATAGAAATCATGCATACCTGGCCAACATAGCTGCCAATTTCACTTTGTATACTTCGTAATGGCTGAATTTCGTCCAGATCATTTGTATCGGTCATTGCATCAGATTTTGATATTTCAGGCACAAGAATTGGAATAGAAACTTGAGTTGCTATTTCAGTTGAAGATGAGAAAGTCTCCAAAGATACATCACTACTTGGTGGCAAAATATTGGCAAAGCAGCATGCATCTGATGTGAAGGGTCTATGTTGCATCAAAGCATTCTCATAAGAAACCCTGTTGGTGTTTATGGTTGCATCAACTAAGGTTTTCGATTCTGTTGAAGTTGCAGCAACGACAACTTTGGGGCCGATTTTAACATTGCAGCCAAAATCCGCAGCATCAGGTCGACACAGGCACGATTTCTCTGATTGTGATTGAGGTCCGGTATCGGTAGCTCGATCAGTTACTTCAGGTTTAAAATCATCTGTGATGGTACCAAAATCAGATTTTGCAGTTGTTTCCGTGGCGATTGCTACATCTTCCCTATCTGGATGAATATTGACCAGGCAAGAAAATTCGTCCACTTCTGGCTTACAGGTTATGGCTGTTTCAATGGAAGCCACTCTTGTTGTATTTACACCTTGGGTATTTATATCCGGTTGAGCGGTTATTGCCACATCAATGCAAGGTACCTTTTCTTCGAAAGCTGGATCATCGCCAACACCAATATCAATCTGATGAGCGGGATATTTGATTACAAAATCATTTTCAGTGATGACACCTTTCTCACAAAATTGCTTTTCCAGAACTTGGCTGCTGGCATCAGTAAACAATTTTTGCATCGGAGCATCTGTGCCTCGTTCTTCAAGAGGGTATAACCTATAATACTGACTCTCAGCATTTTGGGTGATGGTATGATTTCCACAAGAAGCATTTGCTGTCGCTATCAAATCATTACATGAAGTATTAACACTGCATACATTGGTGGTTTCGGTACTTGTATGCTTGGATTCAGTTTCAGGTGATATGCCGAGACATACGTCTTTATAAGTTAACGTATTTTCATCAGAAGGGTTATATTCATTCAGATTCACGGGAGCTCGACCCAAACGCTTCAAAAGTTCTTCATGTCTCTAAATGTAAAAAATTCATTGCTGTTTTCTCTGTCAAATCAGAATTATAAGCACTTTTCCTACATGGGAAAAATCTGTGAATGCTTTCCTATTATCTATACATAAACTATATATATATAAATATTGATCTAGAAAAGTGATTATCAAAGCGAGCAATAGATGCGAAGGCAATATATATAGTGTGCTGTAACGGCGCAATGGTACATAAAAGTTCGAGAACAAGCATACTTGACCAAAAGCAATATGACATGACTGAGAAAATGAGGGTGATTTTTATTTTATTTTCCTTAATAGCAAGGATAAACGTGCAACTGAGATGAACAGTTGAAATTGAAAAATTCAAATCTCACAATAGTTGAAAAATTATACTTATTATTTGTCATACAAAAAAGGATTATTTCAAAACTGCAATAAATTTAAGAAAAATTCGAACATCAAGCTACTGAGGTGTTCATATTCAGACTATTTCATAAAAATCATATCCAGGAAAAGTTGAAAAGTTTAGATGCATATTGCTCCAAACTATAATGAGATGAGATACCAGTTTAACGAATAACGAGCACCTATCGGTATTTCTTGAAAATATTTTCAAATGAATATATTTTTATTTAATTTCAACTTTCACCCTTTGTCTTGAAACCCTACCCATGTTATGTACAACAGAAAACATTTTACCAGTTTCATAATTTCCTCTGCTGAATTTTCAACAAAAGGGACGTCTGGACCAGCTGAGGTAGATTTGTATTTCCTTCTTGGTGGTGGAGGTGGAAGAGACCCTGAAGAGCGGGGAGAAGAGGCGGGGCTCTCAACTGATGAGGGTCTCGAAGTGGATTGAACAGAATTGCCGTTTTTAACACTTACATGGCCCGCCAGTATATCATCAATACCTGCATCAACATGAAAGTAATTTGCTCCGAGTAAGGCCGTATATGCTCACTCCAAAAGTACTGATATTTATCTCTAGCCAAAGTTACAGGCACCTATAGCAACCACTGAAATGCCAAGAGCTGGATACAGCTTCGAGATAGCTAATCATACATAGCTGAAGTATTAGGAAAAGGGGATTTTTAAATTTTTCGGCTGTTAGGTACACTGGCAGTAAACGGAAAACTTTTATTTGGAGGAATGAGTTCCTAATGTTAAAAAGCCCACAGTCCATTATAACATCTGTAAAATAAAAGTCATTGGGAGAGAGACCAAAGAAAACTATTGGAGATGCTAATTTATAAATTATAAGTAACTTGACTTGAAACCTTGAATGATCAGACCTTGTCCATTCACTTGTGAGTTTTCTTTGCATTTTTTCAACTCTGCATTAAGTTTTTGCTTCTCTTGCTGTAAGACGGAAATTTGAACTTGTAGTACTGGAATTTGTTTCACCTGAGATACAAGTAATAAAAAAAAGTAATTATAACAAGAATCCAGCAGTTAATTTGTGTAAGTTGATACTTTCAGTGGTAAATGAATCCCAAAAAAACTTCAAACAATACCACTGGTTGAATAAAAGAAAAAAATCTGAAATACCTCACTCTCCAAATATTTGAGCCTCGATAGAGCGGCCGCCATTTGTTCTCGAACTGCTTGCAAATTTTGTTGTGGAACAGGAACATTCAGAAGGTTGGTGAGTACAGGTGGTGTCTCTGTTGAATCACTTTCGTTTGACTGAAATATTAAATATAATACAGGAAAATCATTGCGGATTTGGTACAACCAGTCCAAAAACCATGAGTTTCTGATTTACGAGCCCTATTAACATAACTTCGAACAATTTATAACCTGAACAAAAGTTGTTTCATCATTAACTCTAATCATGTATTTATTGCAAGTTTGCAACAAATTAATTCTTTTCCGCATGATAACATAGCAGATGCCATTGGAGGAAATGCCATTTGATATTTTTAGTATAGTTGTAGGAAAACTAAGCAATGCTGTCTTAAATACCCAAATCGCATATAGAAAAAAAACCTAATTGGCAATATGCTATATAGAAAATTATACTTGTTTTCGTCATCTCATTAGACTTTGAATAGAGTTAATAGAAATTCAAGCATGGTCCTATCATAATTATTTATATCTTAATGGGTAGTATTGAAACTGAGTGACAGTGTCAAAATGATCGAACCTGAAAAAACTCTTCTCAACATAATTAAGACGATATTTACACATGCGTGGGGAATTTAAAATTTTATATACCGGTATGTCCAAAATGATGAACATAACAAAACTTCATTTAATAGATGCAATGCCAAAAAATGATCTTCAAAACTACTTAAAATATTCTTATTTGAAATTTGCGATATTTGTAATAAAGAATGACTCACATTGTGATAAGGATATATTCTATGCAGAAAGTCAAATGTCTCAACTAAGAACTCATAAGAAACACAAATTGATGATCTTACTTTAACATTTATTGCTATCGAACTTTTCAAATGTAACAAATTCTTCCTAGTAAGAAATAAATCTAGATTCCAAAGCCAACAAAAGTTGAAAATTACCACTCTCCCAGCAAACAAACGTTAAATGATTTCTTATTAAACTACACAACACATACATCTATCTTCTGATAGCTTCAAAAATACTTTGAGCAATGACAGAGCACCGAGTTATGAACGGTTGGGCGGATCATGACATCTCAGTAAACAATCAAACAATATGAGTATTTCTTATGTGGTCGAATCATATATTTACATTCCAGAAGATTAAATAAATAAAGTGATCGGTTGTAAATTATTTCTCATCAAATAGTACAATTTGAACAACAGCAGACTGATACAAAGGACTTTGAAAGTTGGACAATGAATTTATAATGTTATGTTGCAAGAATGAAAATAGTATAAATGCACATTTAACTAACAAAGTTATTACAGCAATGTATCCCAGTTGTGGGACTAACAAACTTTTTTGGGGAAACAAAGGCTGTAGAATAATAAAATAGCCTGTTATAAGTATAATATTGGTAAAATGAAGAAAGGTGAAAGTAATAAGACAAATGATATGCATATAAAGAGAGATTTCTAAACATAACAATATAGCTACTCATTTCTGAACATGTATCATCAAATTGAGAAAAGAAGGATACAACCTCAAGAAAGACTGCATTGTATTATGGAATATGCAAGACTTTTTTAAAAGGTAGAAATAGGTTCAACTGGTTTTAATTTTGATAGTACTTCAGTGGAATTGACACCAATTACCAAGTTTTGGATGCTATTCCAACTATCTAACACCCATCGATCTAAGGCAGTGGATCCCACAGTTGACTGACCGGGGGCCAAAATTAAAAGCGGAAAAATATTGGCGGGCCGGGAGGAGGAAGCCCCCGCACCCGAATGTAATCCTAATACCGGTACATATAATTAAGATATCGATATATGTGAATTGTTACAAATATACAAATGTTTAAACTGTGATACTGAAGTAACAATAGGTGGTATGTAGAACGTAAAAAGGTTGCCCGTGGGCTGCGGTTTGGGAACTATTGAAATATGGCTGAGAGCAATTTGTAAAATATATATATTTATAGACTCGCCTACTCAGGTTAGCAAACCAAATCTGAGTATAAATTGTTGTGTATTATTCAATCAACATCACCAATATCCTCAATCGTTCCAATAAACAAATAGAACTTTTACTAGATAGGCAAATGAAGCATTGATCTTATTAGTATTTGAATCAGCAAAACCATGTGACACATAATTGTCAAGCGCAGAAATAAAATATGTTATAATGATTGATTCTTGTGATTATCTTGGCAATTAGGTATGTATGATAAATTAAATCATTAGTAAAATAGATATTAAATGATAATGATATTAAACCTCATATATTAAATTTCATTATCTATACTAAAGCAGCACACTTTCAGAAGTGTCAAATCCATTTTAGTCGATAGGTGAGCACTAAAGAGCCATATTGCTTTCCCATTCCATGTAGTGAAGATTTAGGGATCATAGCTGTGTGATCATCTCACATTAGTAAATGCAAATTGTCACAAGTAGGTTTGACTCATTGTGCAGAGTGCAGGCACCGTATGTCACGGCAAACAGTAAATTGATTTTAGAATCAAAAAGCGTCTTCAATAAAATGTATGACATAAAGAAGAAATGAGTCAGAATGGAAAACATCTGAATTTCTACATACCAAGTCTCTCTGTCCACTATTGATATAGGTTTTTGGCGATAATCTATTAAATCGGCCAATATATTGTTTACTATCCAAAGCTGAAGATGATTTCTTGCGATAAGATCTGAAAAATATATTAAAATTTATAGTATAATCAACATCGGTCAAAACTGAATTGATTAATATGCATACATACTTATAAAATGTATTCTGAATTACCGGTACATATTATCAAATGAAAAATGTACACAAGCCATTGTATATATTTATACAATTTTGATATTGCAGAAAAGTTAATAAGATGAACATTGTTTGATCTGTTTCCCACTTTTACAGTTATAGATTAAATATATATACATAAGCCGCCACCTTTCAGGATCTAATATTTTCTAATAACAATATTCAAAATTCTCCCTAGAATCATTCACTACATCGAAAATTAAGTAACATTGCTCTGGATATTACCGAAAAATTGGGCAAATTACAAACAAGTGAACACTTGCAAGTTGCAACCCACCCTGATTGAATTGTTAAACCCACTTGTTAAATTACAAAATTATGGATACAATTGCAATCATTTTGAAAAAATCTTGGATACTCATTGCGTTAGGGAGTCTGAATGGCTGAATACACAACAATAGTGAATGGACATGTATATACTGAATATAGTATACACTGAAACAATATAAGCAAAATATGCGCTTAATACTGTTATGTCTGATGATACAAATTTTTCATGATAATGATGAGCATTGTAGCAGACACTTCAAGCCATTATTGTAATGATGACAATTTTAACACACAGCAAACTGTTGGTGGCATGCGTAAAAATATTGATAACAATATTTTTACAAGTTAAAGATCATGATAGTGACAAAATTCAAGTCTAATTTGTCTTCAACCAATTTTATCAGGATGATCAAACTTACGTATGCCAATAAAACATATTCGTCTATAACACCCCATACTTATTAAAAATTCGAATGCAAGAAAAAATAACCAAACACTGCAACACTAAATAATATAGAAAATGCAGAAGTGAAAATGAAGTATTTTGAACATTCAGTAATGCTTTTAACCTTATTTAGATAGTATAGAGCAGGGCTACTCAACTGGCAAACCGCGATGCAAAAAACGACCCTTTCGAGTATTTGATTCAGACCGCACCCAATCCTTTTTTTCTGGATCATTGGCCCCACTTTGAAACGTTTTTGAAGGTTAAACAATCTTTATTAGCGGATAATCAATAGCAGGCCGAGAAAGTGCACGTTCAAGGATGTCAACATATTATAATTTAATTAAAATACAATATTTTTGAAGTTTTGTATGCGGATCTTTGGTAAAAATAGTCGATTAGCCCTGGTATAGGCAAACCCCTTTCTCCTCATCAATCAAAACATCCATTTAATGAGACCAACAATATCTTTTTGATGGAAGATCAGTTGTTTTCAATTCCAATCAATAACAGTGACAACTGACAAGCATGCTTTTGAAACCAGTAGATCAGAAACACATATTATAATGGTAAATACAGCCAAAATAATGGTTAATAACCTGGTTTAATATGACAACCTGTCATATTAATACCGACATATATGTGTGAATGGTACGATTGTACGGTTTAATAATGACATAATTACATTTTCATTGTACCTTGAAATTGTCCTTAATTAATAAGGTCTGTAAAGTATATAGTATTGATTTTATTCGTCATAATTATTAATAGTAACAACAGAAGTGGTAAAATTATATTATCATTATAGATTATGTCATTTCATTTATATTTGGCTTCCGTAGCCATCATTTTCGTCAATAATTTGTTGTTATCAAAGTACCATAGGCAACTTACAGGCCACAGCGCCCAACTACCTTACCACCAAAATGGAAGTTAACTTATAAATACAAAGATGTATTTCAGGAATTTTTTCCATGTAGGAATTCATACCGTAAATGGTATACAGTTAACCCAAAATAGACAATTATAATATCTTCCCTCTCTTTTACTCATGGTTCATATATTCATTTTACATGTAAAGCTTACGTCACAAGTCAATAATATTTTCAATAATTTTCTATTGTTCTACCTGAATGCATCCAATCGTCTTCTCGTTTCCCATAAATTCTTTTCAACCTGCTGTTTGGAGTTTGATGCCTCATTTTCATCATCATTCGATTTTTCTGAAATCCTTGAAAATTGAAATTTTTTATCAGTGTCAAATCAGTATCACTATAGGGCTATAATATGTCTTAAAAAAGAGGTGAAAAGCTTTTTCTTTTTTCAATAATCCTGTCAAGAGATCGTATGCTAATAGAAATAAAGCAAATCCCATGGTGGTCATTTTGATGTAAATAATTTGAGAAGTCTGTCCCTAAGTTTTCTACTCACAAACATGTTGATGATTCTTTATCCCATCCCAATTACGGAACCATACCAGTTATATACAATCATATTTTATCAGTGACCGATTAAATGAGGTCTTGTACAAAGGCGTAGATAGGCGCAGAACGAACAAAAATACAAAGAATAAGGTGCAGATAAAAAGCTTTATTTATTTGGGTCATTCTAATTTGAAAAAAAAATCGCATATTGTAAGTTACTGTGTTTTAATTTTTATATTTCACCAGTATTCTTCGATATTAATATCCCAAACTACAAATTCTGAACGTGGTATTTTAATTTACTGTGTATGCTCATAAAGTTCAACAAATTACTTTTGTGAAGACAGATTCAAACTTCCTTTCGATGAGCCTGAACTCAATCTTCTAGAATTGCTGGGTGATGTCCCTTGGTATGTTTCGCCGTCAGCTGTTGAAAGATAAGAAGAATATGAAAATCATGCAGAAGAAATATTGTTTATTAATAAATGGCCATTGATCATGAAAGTTTGGAAACCACTAGCATAAAATGACACATTAAACCAAAAGATGAGTGTGATTCTCTATCCATTGATGAGTGTGATTCTCTATCCATTGATGAGTGTGATTCTCTATCCATTAGTAGAATAAAGTTTGGTTGGGTTTTTCCACATCCTTGCCAATCATTGGATTTGTTGCTACTGCTTGAACCACCAGGAATTTTTTTTTCTTCCAATAATAAATTGGTCATTGAAATTCTATGGTTTGTTATCAAACCATAAAATAGGGGACTTTTTCTATTCCGATATTGACTCACCGATATTCTGGCAGTATTGTAAAAAATCCAAATTCAGATGAGTTCCATACGGAGTTCTCAGTCCATAACCCTCTGGTGTCACCTCTGGTCTGATCTCACCCAAGTCATCTGATAAAAAAAAATAAAAAAATTTTTATTTTATTAACTGCAAATGTCTGCCTGGAAAATAAACTTAATTACATTACTAAACTCTGAAATATTACCAAAATATAAGATTGATATTATGCTTAATTTTAATCCAATAGTTCCATAATGTTGAATCTTTCAAACATTAAAATAGGGTTTGAAATTTGTTCTCAAGCTATTACCAACCAGATCTGCTCAGAGTGAATATTACTCTATACCGCAGATCAACGGTTTGTACATCGTGATAAGCGTTGGCTCGCTATAGTGCCTCTGACTATCATGCGCGAGTTACCAGGTTCAGATCCTGTGCCTATAGAGTTTGAATAGTTATGTGCAAGAGGGTTCCAGCATCCTCAAATGCATCTGGAACAATTAACTGTTGAACTAATCCCATGTCCGATAAAAACTGCTAACTGGAGGAGATTTATCGGTCTTACCGGCTTTCCTCTCCCCCGGCAGAGCACGGAAATTCCTTCATAATTTAAATTCGAGACTTGCTCTAATTAACCTTTGCTCCGTTGAGACGGGGTATTCTACAGGTTCCATATTCTTTAACACAAAATTCAACTTACCGACTGATCCATGTTTTTGTATAGGAGCATCCATGGTGTCTTTATTGTTACTATTGTTTGCATTTCGGTTAGCAGTCAATTTAGATTTATTGTTAATTTTTTCAGATGATAATTCATTTTGTATTGAAGGTGATGTAGATGTCTTCTTCTTCCAGAAACTTTGTAATTTACCGATTTCCATCAATTGAATATTTAGTACTTTTGTCAATAAAAATATAAAAACAAATGCTTGAGTGAGTGAACGAAATGAAAGTCATAGCAGTGCTCGATTAGCGTATCGAATCAGAATAATGGCAGTTCTAGGAAACAGATATTGTCATATCATGCAGCATTAAAAGAACATCACAGCATTTCGAAGGACAGTGTTATTACTAAAGTAATTCTTCAAAACCAGAGAAATTTGAAGTATCAAAATAGGGTATTGAATTTCATAGCGACTGAGAAAATATTCATGTGCGAAAATTGGAAACATTGAATGTAGATCAGTAGTGTAAACAGAGTATGGGAAATACAGCTAGCAAGTCATTTGATCTGGCCTGTAGAAGCAATAATTTAAATCTTTAAATCTGAAATTCAACACAATTTGGTGCAAACATCAAAAAAATTCAAACTGATTTTAGGTACTGGTATTTAATTTATTTATTTGAAGTCTTTGGCTAAGTTGAAAGTTTACGAAGTTGTCAAATTCAGAGCTAACTATAATGTGATGTAAAATTGTAAAATACACTTGGCTTAATGAATTAACCTTCATACAAGACATTGATCAATAAAAGTAAATTCAATAATTTTACCAAAGATTTATCCAGTTCAACACGAGAAAAATTTTAAAAATTACTTTTCAAACCAGAAGTTATAGTGGAGCATAATTTTTAATGATTTTATTGATAGAATAACAGACACTCTTCATGATTAAAAAGAGATAAAGTTTAACAATAAATAGTACTGGTATTCCACTATTGTAGATAAATCATAAAAATTGGCAGTTAAAAATACGGGGCTTAATTAAACAAAATAAGGTTTTTTTAAATTATTGCTGCCACTAATGCTCTATTATTAAATGTAGTTCAATTAGGATGAAAAAAAATTGAATACTCAAAAAACTGATTTCAACATAACTATAATATTGCTAAATAACTGTGTACCGGTACTTTCACCCAAGAATGTTGAACAAATTTTGGTGTGAATCATATAACCCAGTACTATCTGGTGGCTGCTTTAGAGAAATTACTGCGATTAAGCTTAATTTTTCGTTTAGCGCACGGATCTAATTGAATAGAATTATTTTTGATAACATTTTTATCTGTTTGGTGTGTTTTCAAAATAGTGTCCTTTACAGTAGATGTGGATTTTGAAGAATTCAAAGAGCATGTTTTCATTTTTTTTACTGGAATTGTGTTGTCTTTCTCATGTTCGTTATTTTGATTGTCATGTCCATTAACTTCCATTTTTTCAATTTTTTGTTCTGAAAATTTAACCTCTTCTGAACTTCTTTTTACAGGAGAAATAGCATGTTTATTAACTTCTAATGATGTGTCTTTATTTACAATTTTACAGTCCTTTACATTATTTTTACATTTTTTCTTCGCAGCCTTTGACCTCGCTTCTAATTTGTCCATTTCTGACATGACAGAGTTTAAAGATGCTTTTTTCTTAGGAAATTCCGATAGACCATGTTCAACAAGTTTACTTTCCTTATTTTTTGACATCTCTTCATATTTCCGTTTGAGGTTTTTCGCAATTATTGTCCCTCGTCTGTTCTGTCGTGGCTCTCTTTGTGGTCGTGGACTCGTCAACGGACATGATAAAAGAATGACATTCTCTTCACTCGACATGTTGTTTCCTTTTTTTCTCCGCCTCCAAGTTTATTTCAGCAAAAATACATTAGAAAATAACCTAACCAATATCTATATCACTATTCACCATAAACAACCAATCCCTTATCCAAACCTAAAAAGACAAAACTCATGATTTTAATATATCAAACGAAACACTACTTCTTACAGCTCATAATAAATATCTGTGTCAAAATTGATTTGTAAACAAAAGCAATAAGCAGATAAAATATTATGTAACCATTATTGAATATAATGGTGCAATACATTCAATAGTTTAAAATTTGTTAAATCTTATTCAGATTAACATTCGCCTATTAATTGGCAAGTCAAAATTTAGGAGAAAAAAGATAATCGAAACAACTGGTACACATAAGGTTTAATTCAAGATTTCACTCCATAAAATTTGACACTTACAATCCCTTCATAATATGAAATACATAAAATAAAATATTATTTTTAATAAATCAGGAAAGCAATATATTAAAAATAGTTCTATAATTATCGTGATCCAGCCCATTAAAATTGGATAAACACCGCTCGAGACAAAATTTCTTTTGATGATATTTGTTTCCTGACAAATCCATTATCAAGAAATATTCATATGAAATCAGGCTTACATTACCAAGTGTTTGCATAAACAAATCCCATTTCTGGCATTAACAACATCACATAGACATTCAATGACGAAACTATTATGTTCCAAATAACCCATACAGGCAGTCCTGTCTGTGATAAACGCTTGCACAATGTTACCGACACACAGTTAGACAGTTTCAAAGATTTCATTTTTAAACACATAAAAATAGCATAAGGTAGCATAATGCTATATTATGATTAATTGATTAGCAATTTTCAACATCAAAAACCTAAAAGAATACTAATAGAGTCTAGGTAATTTCACAGCGTCCCCTACGGACATCTCTCAATTCGGCAAAATTTTCCCCCATTCAATTGTCAGTCCATATCAACTGCATTCATTCCTTTGCTGGATGAGTTAAAGTCCGCACATGCAGACATGATACATATCCACATAGGTACTGATATATATATATGTCTACGTCAAGCACATAAACCAACCCCAAAAAGAATGATGCGTTAAAGTATACATATATATATAACAAAGTCAACAAACAATAAAATAAGCTAACAAATATATTTTGACAGCACTGACCTCACACTCAATAGCAAGTGATAGAATTGAAGCGTTAATGATGTTTCGCAGCATGTTATTAAAGCGGTACAAAATACATTCCAACCTTTGATTAGTGCTTCAATATACAGATATATAAGAATCTGAATGATATCGCACAATAATTATTTATCAACAACAATTTCCTGTGATTGCCAGAAACATAATATTCCCAAATTTGACGTTTAACTTTAATTAATACCCTGCTGAGGAGCATGTCTGAGGTAGGAACAAATATCTTTGTGTTCTATAGAGCAATCTCTGCAGACATGTAAACAGGATTAAACAACCTAAAAATGCTACAGTGAATAGATATTTGGTACAGTTTCATTTTATCTAGAATGAATCCAATTGAACCACTCAAATATGAACAAATTTCCTCTTCTATTCAATTTAAATCCGATTTTTCCAACATCAAAATTTTGAATTTGTGATATTTAAATTTCACATAATGTTTGAAATTTTGAGATACCGGCTAAGCATTAAAAAATATATACGATAGGGGTAGGTAAACAAGCAAAAATTTGAACATAAGTATGTACTCTGCATACAAATATGGTACCCCAGGCCAAAACACAGTTAGATAGTTAAATCCAAATAATATAATATTTCAAATCATTCTACAAATATTATTAATAATTGATTGGGAATATATCTAAATTCTAACTAAACGTTTGAAATTTACACTGTTGTTAAGTAAACTATAAGACAATAAAAAGCAAAGATATGATCAAGTCTATCAGTGAACAGGTTGAACTTGTAATCAATTCTGAATATTAAATTACCAAGTCCCAATTTTAAGACTCAACTGTAAAACGAAGGCATTCTGAAATATTCCAAAAACTACTCAAGTCAACATCCTAGGATATAGCAATGATCAAAATTTAATTATTGAATTCTATTTGGACATTCTTAGCTATAGTAAAAAGAAAAACATGGTCACTTGTCATATCTAAACATACAATAAAAACACTAGTTGCAATAAAAATCTGAAAACAAACAAGCCAAATTTTTGTACTCATCCTGAGAACTTTATCTATAGTTCATGTTCAATCAAAAATAGTACCAATCCCAATGTTTGTGTAAATGTAGTAGTGATTGAATAATGTAAAACATCAAAGAAAATCAAATTAGGAATTTTGGGTACCTAAATAAGTTAACAAGATAATAATGAGCACCCAAGGTCAATATAATGAAGTATAATCAGTTACTTCTACCGGTCCACATATTTAATGGGGCAGGTGCTTCATTTTATAGGCTCAATTCAAACTCATGACTGCAATTAAAAGTAGTTATACTGTGTTTGGTCAGAGGTTAGGGCATTGGCATATACGAGAAAGAAACCTTGTTAAAAAATCATATGTTACGATGAATCCTGACACCTATTTAGCATATTACAAAGTATATTATGAGAATTTAATGTAGAACGAGCAAATTTAAATTAAATATATGTGTAGCCAAAAAAAACAACAGATTTATCAATTCATTTTAAATACACTATACACTACTACATTCGATTATCTGTAGAAAAATAATTTTTATGAACTCGAGAATATGTTATTGTTTTGAATCTGGTGAAATAAATAAAGACGATACCGCAAAAAGTAAAAACACCACACCACCAATAATCGTAACCGTCCTGACCGATATTTTTTGTGCAATCATACGTCCCCCAATTACAGCAAGACCAGTACAAAGAGCATGACCAAGTGTCCCTCCTATAACAACACCAAGTACATTTTCCCTTGCTCCAAGAATGATAGTTGTAAGCTGAGATCTGTCACCCCATTCAGCAAGAAAAGTAAGTGTAAATGCTTGCACCAAAATAGGCGATAAAAGTCCCCAACAACGTTTTGCATAGTGTCCTCCACGGATGATTCCAGACTCTGGGTCTTCGACAATTGTCGCTGTAGCTTCTCGTTCTAACTCTTCTTCTTTTTTCTTCAATTCTGCTTGAACTTCTTCAAGTTCTTCCTGGCCCTCATCGGGTCTCATTTTTATTCCTTCCTGAAGCATCCTTAGTCCAAAGATTGCAAATAATAAAGTTGAAAGATAGTATGTAAACCATCGCGGAATTATGGTTGTTGCAAGACCAAGACATGCAGATAAAACTGTCATGAGCCCGAGAGCTGCAATTGCTCCTGAGAAAACAGTTAATCTGGAATATCGCATTGCCATTATAGCGGCAATAAAAAAGGTCTTATCTCCAAGTTCTGATACAATGATTACAGATAATGAGGCAAGAAAGGCATGAACAAATCCCAAAGTTGTTTTGTCATTTTTCTCATGGTTCACAGTTTCCTCACCATTATTAATTGAGCTTTGTGTAACATCTTTTACATTTTGTTGAACCTCAACTACATTTTCATCAGCGTTTGATAACTTCCTTGATAAAAATTTGACCTCCGATACAGAACTGGAAATGGCATGTGTATCAATATGGCCTTCAGCATGTATACATAATGCATACAGAATAAGAAATAATATAAAGCATTGGTAACCATACATCGTTATCCAGTTGCTGTTATAGAAGTATAGTCAAACGAATAAAAACTTGAAATTCTATATAATCATAACCTGATATCAGAAACCAATAAATGCTCCTGGGTGAAAAAATCAACACAGATTAAATACAAAAATGATAATCGCCCGATGCCACCAAATTATCTACTGAAAAAAATGATTAGGATTATTTGTTTGTCAAAGTACTGAAGTAGACTATTCAGAGCGAAATTTCAGATTTTTAGACATATTTCTGTATTTGCTAGCAGATATGAAGACACCAACTGGTCTAAATCTAAAGCTGAAAAGACTGAAAGAGCTACCACCATAGCCTAAAACCTAATTTTTATAGAGAAAATGACTGACCCTATTTGAAAAAATACTTTAGTTAGGTAGTTATCGCAGTCAGCCATAGTTGTACCGGTTTAATATTTTTGCAAAGATAAATTCTTGTTTTACCACCGACATTAGTTGCAGTACCTACCCTACTGACCCTATACCATACAGCGCTGCTAGGACTAGAACTCCTTTTCCTTTTTTTTCCTTAAATTCACTCAAATTGTTCGAATTTGATCCCAATTAGTTCCCATTCCGCATTCCAATAAGCATTTGCATAGGAAATTCATAAAAAACAAGATCAAAAATTATCAGGGCTCGTGTAGTTTCGTACCTAACGTACTTCTAGTGAGCGTGGCATAACAATTTTTTGATATGTCGATCCTAACCCCCATCTGCCTTATGTCCTACTATGTACTAATGTCTGGAATCTGGAGCCTCGAAATTCGTATCGCGAAATGACGGCGACGATGTGTATTTTTCTGCACGTGTCAAAGGTCAATTAATTAGTGCAGACAGAACGACGAAAGTCTTCTATCTACTACCGTTGTATCATAGTTAACTGAATCAGTTTTGTATATGTTGTATAGTATCGTTGTGTGAATGGTTAGGTCAGGATTTACATATTCATCCCGGGGGAGAAAAATACGGCTTAACCAGTGGTGGGATTCAGCCGGTTCGCCCCGGTTCTATAGAACCGTCTCACGGAATTTTATGAAATCAGCGAACCGGTTAGCATTACTGGTTACCGTCAATGTAATGTTCGGCTGAAAAATATGACTTTTGTGAACCGGCTGACAAAAAATTTGAATCCCACTAATGGGCTTGACCATATGGCGAACCACGGCCTCTCGTCCGGTTACCATTCCTCGGGTATGGGATTACTTAGTTTTTCTTTTTTCGGGAACATGGACTCGATGGTGGAGGAAGCCTTAACCGACCAGCGGTTACGTGAGCCACCCTACGACAGCGAGGATTCAAGCAATCCTCTCGCACATACCTATTCCCGCATTGAATTCGAACCTGCGAACCCACGCAGAGTAATCGTAGGTGCGTTGGCGAGAGTATTCCTAACGCTTAGCACGATGAGCCGCCACCGCCTGCTACAGTAGAAGGTTATCATTCTCTGTGGTGTTACTATGCTTCCCATAAAAAGTTTATTAATTGCTGATATCAATGACATTACGGCAGCCGCAGATTCGACGTCGGCATATATATATACAAGTTTGGGAATCCAGGCTTGAAAAAACCTCACGTTTCAAGGGAGCCACATGAAAGTTGCTGGGCTTCCAGTCGTCGTATGGTGGTCACGTTACCACTGGTCGTCCATGAATCTGAACAGGACGAGAGGCCCTTGTTTGCCATCTAAATGAGTTGTCTTATCTGCCTTCCGCTCTCCGGGATAAATATGAAACTCCTATATTATCGTGGAAAATCACGAATTTTCGGGCGTGCAAGATGGATTTCGCTCGCGTGCATTTTCAGAAGGTCATGCACTTGATACGGAATCAGGTTTAAAATATAGGGCTTACGATATTTTTTAATCGGAGGATTGTGCCTCCAATATTTCAGTTTTTAAATACTTCTTTACAGGTACATAGAATGAGATTGGCTAGGTACATACACACACACATTTATTCATTGTTTGGATTTAGCAAATCTCCTGAAAAAATTGTTGGTGTGGTACTGCATACCATACTTCGGAATACTCTTTGGAACGCTGACGCATTGGTCCGTTAGTAACAATAAAATTATTATTATGGTGGGATTCGCACAAGCTGAACGTAATGTCGTTGCAATCGGCAAAGCCATTCTTATTAATTTTTTGGCTTTAAACGTAATTTGTAGTGCGGCTGTCGACTGGCGATTTTACAAAATTTGGTTAGAAGAACCGCTGGTTTAATGAATATTTTGATTATTTGTATATCTACTATTTTGTATTTTATAAAGATTACAAGTTCGTTCCATTTGTGGTTACCCAAGGACTATCATGATTCAGCGTGTGAAAATCTGTGGTACACAGTCTTCTAGCATCTAATTCAAATTCGCACACGTCGAAAAGGTAAAGTGGGAATTTGTAATGATTGCAAGTGCACTTTAACTCCAGTAGGGCCTACATCCACTTCGAAAATAACTAAACATTTCTATTTTTATGGGGGGAGCTGACTCTGATGACTCTGAGTATGGTCGTATCGCTCCTCCCAGTCTATATCGAAAAACTCTTCATGTTATTGTATATATTTTTATTGTTGCTAATTGCTATTGTTTCAGTATTTTTTTCTGGTTGACGAAAAATAAATCTCTCTCTCTCTGTCTCTATTTGTTCGTGTTACTTGTTTGTATGGCGTTTTTAAAAGCTTCCTTAGGCTTGTTCGTTTTTCTTTATCGTTTCAAAATACACCGTAATATTATATTTAACAACTTAGGCATTCTCTTTTCATGGATTAGCATATGGCGTCTGCAGTTTACGTAATTTTGATCTATTATGGGAGGAATTTCGCAGAGGATCATCCAATTCCATACCCAAATTCTTTACTGTGAGTTTGCAGCTGGGCGTTGAAAACGGGAAACTCCGCTGCCTAGGCGAAACTGTCGATGTAGGTCAGTTTCCCGTCAGCTGCACTTTGCATAAGGTACATAAAAATGACAAATCGCTGGCTTGTTGAAAGAAAAACTCTGGGAATTCTTCAAATGCAGTCTTGAAATCCCAACCCTAAAAAGTTCACAGCGATATTCGAACAATTAAAATGACGAGAGACATTTTGTCTCGCGTGGGAAAGATTAATTGTCACAACTCACAGAACAATGCAAAACAGGAGTTGAAAGTTTTTCTAATGAGCGTGGCTTATCACTACAGTTGCGCATGCATGTTAACCGCAAAACTGATTCGATTTTTGATGAATTTTGAAAAAGCTTCTGATTAGCGCGATCAACAATTGCCTGGCGCTTATCTGATTAAACTAACGTTTATCCAGGCACAGCATGGAGTGGCACAATGTTAATACTGGAAACTTAGTCTTGTATGACAAGCAAAAGTAGAAAATTCCATCCTGGTAAATTCCTAGTTCCTATTAAAATGAGTCGAAATCTCGTGATATCGGGACCCCAATCCGATATCTTACATGTTGGAACACTCTGGTGTGAGCGAGGAAGATGTCATCAAAGCGGCGTGGACCGTATGTTGTGTAATTGTGGCCATAAAATTATTCCATGTATTGCAGCACTCCAGTGTGAATGAGGAAACAGCTTTTAGACACCGATCATATGTTTGAAAAAGTAAATGAGGGAGATTGTAGGCTATAAAAAAATAGTAAATATTATTTTTGAAACATAATTTGTAGCAGTTTGATTTCCCCTTTTAACGAATATTTGCACAAAAACTATACATTCGAATTGCAATGATAGCTCGCTCGAAAATACAATGCATATATATATATATATATTATGAATATTTTTTCACTGGAACGTGTTATTTTTTTTATTCTTATTTATATCCAGAGAGCATTTATAGTTTATTTCCATGAGAAAGATCAGCTGACTCCGCCATGTGCAAATGCTCAAAATAACAGGGTTTTCGATAAAAAAATAATAATAAAAGCTATATCTATTCTCTGTTCATCAATGAAATCATTAATTCGTTAGTTAACGTGAATAAAAGTTATGAAAAAATGCATGTGTATGAAATGTATAAACATTCTTTTTATATTGCTGGATCTCGTGCACTAGAATTTTCCTCTCGTTAGTGAAATTGGACTTCCAGAAGTACGTGCACCAAGATAGCGCACAACCTGATCGTAGTATGCATATCATGTTAGGGTTATTATCTTACGCAAAGATTCCCCTAATTCCAAGTTCTAACTGGCTGCGATAATACCGCATATTACGGGTGGCAAACAAAGTATCACAACTGTTCGCTAACAGCCTGCCTCTCCGGAAAATTTCCATTCGCGTATTGTTGTTAGAATATTCTGACCGAGTGTAAATGGAGAATTTCAAAGATGACCGCTGTCAAGGTTTATTTGCTTACACCAGGTGGGTATGTTTGAAATAAAATTTTATGATCTACATCGGCAGAATGAAATTCTGTTTCAGAAGATGCGCAGTGTATTTAATGTCGACTTTACGTTGATGCAAAGACTTGTACGTCGAAGTGTCAGCAAACAGTTCAGGAAATTTTTGTTCGTGGTTGCAAATTAGCTTTGTCAGGCATTTGTTGTCCTTTGAACATAATGTCATTTCCAGAAAGCAGTGTTAATTTATATAGAAGTTAGTGGTGGGAGAAAACGCATCTGCTAGAGCCAGATAGTACTAAAATAATGTATTCGAATACGAGTTTACCAGCACATCTTTTGTAAGTATATGACGCGTTTGTTTTGATAGGTATTACAACAAATTCTGCTTTTGAAGGAAAGAAATAGATGATGCTAGCCCGCTTACAAATTTTCTCAGCAAGTTTTACCTAAATAGCATGCCACTTTTTTAATAATCCACTCTGAATGTTTTACAGAGTAATTAATGAGAAAAGTACATTTTTCAGTTTGTCATAGAATACAAAAATATGGATATTACATATAATTCCACCGATGCTGCAGATTATTCGAGTAACCACAGTATAGTTGATTCTACTCTATTCAAAACAATGTCAAACGTGTTTGTTACTATTTCAAGCCTTATGATGCTCGCAAATTTGTGGGTGGTCGTGGCATTTTTCTTGTATGCAAAATCATCTAACATTATGAAGAAGAAATCTAAAACTGATCTGGACGGTGGGCTTATTTTCAAAGCCGCTCTTGCTGCCGTTACATTGCCATTGCTGAGGTTTGCTGCAACGACAATGATTTTTTTCATTGGGTTCGACCCCGAAAATCATAAAGCCTGTGCCGCCGGAATTTACATTAGCAATATATTTTTTGTTGTTCCTATTTTAGCGTTGTACGTTTTTCTATATATACGCCAAAGATCGTTTTACAACCATCCATCTCTTGGAAATCTCTTCGATCGATCTGTTGCCACTTTCAGCAAAATAAGCTTGGCATTTATTGTCATACCAACAGTCGTATCACTGGTGATTGAAATGTCAATTAACCAGTACAAATCTGGACCTCATGGCTGTTCATTTAGAAGTGATCAGTCTGATATAAACTTTCGATTTTTCATTTATGGCGGAGTGCTAGCGTTTGGCCAAGCAATTTCGCTCGGCCTCTTCATTTATCCGCTCTATCTCCATTCGAAATCACAAAACAAGACCGATGAAAGGACGAATAAAGTGGACATCAGCAGTCATGATCATGCAGAGTCTTCTTCTGCTGACCTAGACAGCAATGCTGCTCATAAAGTAAAAGAAATGTATAATTCGATGGGTGAACTTACAGGAACAGCTGCTTCTAGTACTTGTTCAGATGGTGATTTTAAGTGGAAACATCTAGAAACTGACAACATGGAAAACTTTGCATTGCCTCCTTTGGATGACAAACGCATAAGTACGGACGAGAAACAAGTAGTTACTTCTGACGCTTTGGAGGTAGACAAGCATTCAAGAATACAAGTGAACAGGAGACGAGAATCCACTGTTTACCGTCTTATACGCCGCACGTTGTACTTGGCCAGTATTTCAATATTGTCTGACATGACAGTCATGATAGTTTCAGGTTTGCTCGTGCCCAAGAATACTCCCTATTATGTTATCGGTATCTTACATGACCTTGATACCACAGTCAACATCATCACAATCGTGGGTTCTTTCAGAGCTTGGAGGAAAATATTGTTTGGGAGTTTCGCAAAATATAGATGAAGATACCAATGTTGTTTTGTCAACGTATTTCTGATGTGCAGTGAATTAGATAATTTAAAATTTTTGAGTGAAGTGCTTTGTTTTGTCTATGTTATGTTTTTGATGTCTTAAAGTAATGTTCGTGTTCACAAATCATGTTTTATGAAAAATATAACACAGAAACATTTATTTGCTTTGTATTTTGCTTTTATTATTTTGTAATAAATGTATATATATATTTATATTTATATATTGGCGGAAAACTTATGAACAGTAGCGCTAATTAGCCGCATTGAATCAGATATGATTTTTCATGAACGCCCATACCTAAATCACACATGCATTTATAATGATACGATATTGCATGTAAGGGATTTGTCACAATAACATATATATTATTTTCCCTGGTTTTCACCCCTGAATCAAAGTACAAAGCTCAATTCTCACCGACTCACAGTCGTAAGAAACCATAATCCAGTTTTAGTCAGTTGCCAAATTATTATTGGGCACGAAATGGTCCTATATAGCAGGGCTACTCAACTATTTTTATCGAAGGTCCGCAAACAAAACTTCAAAATTATTTGCGTCCGGTCTTTCCGGAACTGATATTTCGGCAACCTCAAACGAGCACTTCCTCGACCGACTAGTGATTAGTAGCAAATTAAAATTGTTTATTATGGTGTTATATTTCTTTTCGTATATATTCAAAACTATGAAAGTCATTTTATGATAGGAAATTCAAAAATTGGGGCTAATGATCCAAAATAAATAATTAGGTGCGGTCCAAATCCAATACTCGAAATGTCCGAATTCGGACCGCGGTCCGCCAGTTGAGGAGCCCTGCTATATAGTATAAAGAACGCTGTTGATGGTGCTTATGTGTAAAATCGCATTTCTCCGCTACTGATTGACCAAATTAGTGCCTGAATGTGGAGGAAGTCGTTAGAAGGCCCTATATTTCACTGTACTATTGTAATTCGAGTTTACACTTGTATATATAAACACTTTTGATGGATTTTTGTCCCAATATGTTCGAGAATTTTCTCTTCTAATTGGTATATCAAACAGTCTAACTTAACACGTGAGGTTTCCGGTCGCGAATCGACCATATTCACAGTAGCAGCGTGCCTTCACGATCAAATCTTTAAATACTAGGACAAGAGAGCCCAGAGTAGCTTGAAAGTTATTAAATTAATTATTCCTTATTAGCTGCTACTAACGTGCTTTTGTGTGATCCGAAATATTGTTGTTTTCATGACCAACCATTTTTTAGAATCCTACTTTCAATATATAGGAAAGTTTACTACTATCTCGTTAAATGGTGATGATTATCGTTAATATAATATAAGAAATGAATCAACAGTGACAGGCATTGTTACCAATTGATTGCATCTAATTTTTTGCATACTATTTTTATTGCTTCGATTTTAGCTTCTGTCGGTAATAAGTTTATTCCAGAGTAAATGTCGCTAGGAACCAATCTCGGGCTAAACCGATGTAAAGTGGTGGACCACTATTGCAAACGTAATTCAAGTAGACCCAAATAATATGAAAAACTCATCTGGTACGTGGCGTCTAGTAAATAAAATCGTTCCCAAACATTTCCACCAAAAATATTAACGTTTTTAGATGCGGTGTGCCAGTAGTAAACGTGTTGGCCTAACAACCTTGGAATCGCAAATTATGAATATCGTTTTGAACACTAGTTCATGTTTTCAAGCTTACCACACCACCTCAGAGGCGTAGCCAGGATATTTTGCGCCCGGGGCAAAATATAAAATTGGCGCCCCGACCCCCACGTTTAATCATGTTTTCTATTGCATTTAATTGTATATGTAAAAACAAATTATATATCGTCACGTTAATAACCGAATTGCGTAAGTCATATTTAGCTGTTTTGAGGAAAACGTAAAAAAACTTCCTAATGATACTGCTATGCCATTAATTTGCCATAGTTCAACTTTTTGATCGTAGCCGGATTTAAGTTAATTTGTATGACGCAGTCATGTGACGTCATAATGGCGCATTGTGACTTAGGAAAAAATGTGTCTAGGACTAGGGGACATACGCAATTTTGCAACTTGACTATATGTACCAGTCCTGAAAACCGAACAATCCAAAATAGCTAATCTGTTTCAATTACATTATTTTTTATGTTTAAAAATATATATTTCATCAATATAACACGCTCTGCACATCCACCGAAATAAGACTAAAGTTAAATATAAAGAATAAAACAGTAATGTACCATTATATAAAAGTCAACCAAGGTGAATTGGACTCAGACAGTGAATATCACAAGTGCACGCCTTCCTATACAGTAGTATAAATTGAAAATTATTGGCGCTAAGCTAGAATCTGAGATGCAAAAACTCGAAAATCCTTCGCCGAGGTTATTTTGCCTTTGTGACGTCACAATAGTCCTGCGTTAAACAAAGATAATTCATTATGACGGAACAATTGAACAAATTTGCATATCATACAAAATCTCTATTTTTATGGGTTTTGGAAGTCTTAAAATAAAATCTGAGTAAACAGACAGGTGCGCAGCATTACATAAATACCTATTTTATGAAAAAACTCAAAACCGCCAAAAATGACTTACGCAATTCGGTTTTTAGCGTGACGATAAGTGAATTCAAATTTATATTTATTTATATATTTATTATTTATTCAAAAATATATGTATATGTAAATTCAAATGTAATGTTCATTTTTTCAATTTCACTGTCGTAAACTGGTTAACACGTCATCAAAATCTGTTTTTTTCCCCCCAATGTTTCTCTTTCAACAACGATCCTGTCCCGTTGATGCACGCGAATACGACAAAATAAGTTTCAATTTGCTTAAAGACCGTTCACAGCTTGCAATTGAAACTGGTATTGTTAACAAAATTTGTGGAGAGATTCGCAGATTAGGTAAAACGTCGTCTCCAAAAGACACAATAAAACCAAGAAGAGCCAAAGGAGTTTCTGGTTGACCTACAGTTTTGTTACTGAGCAGCATTCTGCAATCTCCAATTTCGGTGAAAAGTTCGTGGCCATTGATGTCCGTGTCGTAGAAATTTACAAAATCTGTGCATTCTCGACGAATTGTCGAAAACGGCATTAGGGTCTTTTAGCACAGTATAATATATTTTATGTAACTCTGCCGCAAAGTACGGTACTTTGACAACAACGAAATACAAAACCACGTATTACTCAAAACCTGTATTAACATCATTCACCCAAATTCCGTTTCCATTTGTCTTCAGCACAGTACTAATATCAACTTACATCGGAGTGCGCAGGCAAGAACTTAACGATACAGAACCACGTAATTAACGCGGTGCATTTTGTTACCTAACGTTACCAAATCAAATTTTGCTTTGTTTCCCGGCCAGATTTTTTGGCCATGTAATTACGATGGAAATCTGACCGTGAGCGAACTATGTGCGTGATGACGTCGGCAGTGGTCTGACCAAGTGTGCAGTTTGCCATGTACTAGGACTGGATGTCTGCCGCCGGTGCGATCTTGCTTGTGACCATTTTTTACCCTTGTGAAATTTTTGCAAGCCCCATTTTGGCGCCCCTGTACCTTGGCGCCCGGGGACATATGTACCCCACTGCCCCCCCTAAGCTACGCCTCTGCACCACCTCACTAGAGACAAAATAGAGACAATACGAATGTACATCAAAACCAAAATATCAGTACATAAATGATGTAAAATATTAAAATTAATTTTACATACTCTTGTCGTTCATCATAATACGATTACTGCATGCGAGTAGTTAAATCATTCACAATCAATGTACGGAAAGTGAAATAAGCAATTTATAATAAAAGTCGTGCCCAATGCTCAAAAACATGTAATACATATGTTAACATTATATACTCAAATTGCTTACATACTGTAATGTAATGGATTGAAATATTGAAAAATATTCTAAATTTGAATGATTCAAATAGGATGTTGGTGTTAAACGTGTTTATCTTTTACAATATTGTTAGTCGCAGGACATGCGTTTGTGTAGCTCAAATTTAAATAACCTATCATAAATATTCATTTTAAATACTCTAATTCTCAGATTACATCGTAATCAGAATAAAACAGGGATATCGTAATCTAGTAGATTGTAGAACATTAATACAATAACTCAATTGTTTAATAAAATCTGTTATCTTGAAAAGTAAATATCATCTCCTCGTTTTTTAGCCGAAATTTTTAGTTTCGACTTCCTATAATCTAAATCAATTTTTGAAGCTCGTGAAATGATTTCATTCAGTCTGATGTCTTCACCTTCCATTTCATAATATGATTCCTGATCAACCTGTGAAATTGAAATTTTCGGAATCTTTAAAATCACATATTAAAAAAAAAATTGAACCTTCATGTATGAAATGTTGGAAAATAGTTAAAAAATGCGGACATAGAGATGATTACGTGCAAAAATCTATTTTCAAATATTTATTTGAAGTACGTGAGTAACAAACGTAAATGGGAAAAGGGAAAACTCAATGTGACAAGCGTCTTAATGAGGTTCGTGGAATATTTTGTAAATGAGACTATTAAAAGAACAAAATCATGGGTGATGCAGTTCAAACCACGAAAAAAAACGCCAAAAAAGCACACAGTTAACTCAATTAAATACTTTAAATACTTAAATACTCAATAAAGACATACCGGCATCACATAAATTACAGGTTCAACTTTGAAGGAAACAGCATCTCCCGGCTTTATATTTTTTCTGCTGAATAATTTTCTTCCGCTTTTGAACATAGCTATTTCAAATTGCTTCGAATTTTCAACGTTACTATAAACCATAACACTACCATCGTCCGTCTCCATACCCTCATCTATCGAGATAGACCATGAAAAATAAAAAGTTGGAAAAATAAAGCAAAATATAGTTTGTTACATAGTAATTTTAAAGTTTTTGTGGGATATTGAATCATTCTTCACATAACATGTATTGCCTTGTTGATAAGGAAAGAATGTAACTCACGAAAGAACATATCGGGCGCTGATCCATCATCCACTGGCATATCTACTTCCCAAATGTCACCATATTCAGTATAAAATGGGCCAGTAGTTCTTCGTAATCCATAACCGCCCGGGGCAGTATCGATAATTGCAATTTCAAACTCGCATGGTAATTGAATGGGTCCGACTGATGCTGGCATCTTAATGAAATGCTATAAATTAAACTCACAAAATACTTGTTGAATATCTTATATATAAAAACTGCCATGATATATCATTTTTATCAGGCATTTGGAATGCAAGCACTTTCCAACTTGAGCGATTTTTGTAACCATGGGTGTGCTGACATTATAAAAATATTTCGTTATTTATAACGGAATCTATCCGTTTTACAATATTGACATATTGGAAAAAAATGAATAGCACGTGGAAGTAAAGTAACATACAACAGATTTTTGTAGTAAAAGTGTCATAATAATAAACCAGCATTTCTCAATAAATAATATTGTGAATTTGACGTGAGTTTTATCAGAAGAAGAATTCAGCTCAGCTTCTGTATGTTGGTATAAACTCAAATTTCAACTTTTTTATGCCGCCAAACTAAAGTTTTGTAACGAGTATTCCCATAGCTTGTCACGACATTTTACTTGGACTTTATTAAACTTGGAAAAAAGATTTCATGTTTTTCAAATGTTTACTATAATTCTCATGCAGTAATTGCTTTGCATTTTTATGGGCAATGCGCGTTCTATTTCCTTGTACTTACCTCCGCAATTTCAGCGCCTATCCATGGAGTAATGTAGCTATTTTCGTCGCTGATTTCCTCCTCACATTGGAACACCAAAAACCAAATAGCCGACTCTAAATCTGGAAAATGTATTGGTTATTGTCATTATCCATGGATTTAATGGCATTGTCCATGCATGGGCAGACTTTAAGGGTATATATCATGAACATATTGCGCTACGTATTTACTAAGTAGAGTGCATGCAGGGCAAGCGTGATCCCAACTTTGTCCATGACAAAGGTAATGAATCATAAATAAAATAAAAATATCGAAATTAACTGTTTAAACGTTTTTAAGAAAAAAATTACTCTATTCAAATAAACTACGCGGGGTACTAGGATATTGTAAATTGAACCATTCTCCTTGTCAGCTACCTACTTCGGATCCGTATGTAGCTGTTACCACAAATATACTTGAACGATATGGTATTAGAGTGATCTGTTATCTGTCTTCTTCAGACAAAATAAGCAAAATACCCCCAAAGAAAATCCAACGTGAATACCCCTATTTCGTGGAAATAATTATGTTATTCCTATTTAAAAAATTAGTTTATATATTCAATGAGAAAATTACTTACTATTGACTATAGTAAGGGAAACCGGTCTTTCTTTGATATCCTGCGATATTCCACTTTGAGAATCGACGCTGCTTACACTTCCCAATCTGCTTGAGTTAGCGCTAGGCTTTTTCAACGTTTTCCTCTAAAATAGTGAAAAGATAATAATTTTCACTAGAAACATAAGTTATTACAGAATCTCCATTATTTAACATGTAATATTACTTGGCCGTGGTGTTGGTAACGTGAAGTACATATGCAGCCAAAATGTGCATATACCGTCAAAACACATACATATACAACCAATCACATGTACATGCGCACCCAATGGCACATACATGTCCAGCTTACTCAATATACATATACAGCTTCAAGAGAAGTGACAGTTTATACATTTATATGCAATTATGGCAGTGCGTTCGATATCACGAGTTAGTTGCCTTTTCTTTAATTAGGAAAGCATCGTGGATGTGTTACCACTAAATACTTTGCATTTTGTAAGAATGGGGTTGTGTTCTTTCGTTTATAGCAGTGGTTTCCCAAACTCGATTTCCAAAAGTCTATTAACTCTTTCGTAAAAAATACAAAAGCTGTTGTTACGACCGTGAATAACTGAAATACCCGCAAAAGTTGTCGAATTACCGGTTCAATAATAATAACGGTTTAATGATCATAGTATGACAACTAACTTATCACACATGCAAAGTATGTGTGATAAATTGCTGTAATCCAACAATACAAGAAGATTCGGTGCTCCTGAAGTATGCGAACCAAGATGGCGGACATCGAAACGTAGCATGGGTAACAGGTTAGGGTTAGGCCATAATTTTATTCCAATTTCCCTTATTTTAGTCCTACTATGAGTTCGAAGACTAGCCAAGTGCCTATCGTAGTATTTGTACCTAAAATTATGGCCTAACCCTAACCTAGTACACATATTACATTTCGATGTCCGCCATCTTGGTTCGCATACTTCAGGAGCCCCGAAGATTCAGTCGTTCAGTCGCGGTACGTTTAGCAAAAGTCAACGGTGCAAAATTATAATGTAATAATAACCAACAACAGATGATCACTCATATCACGAGGGATGTTTTTGTTACAACATTGTCCACTTTTTAAAATAAACTATTGCTTGACCACTGGTAGTAAACTCGTGAAAAACTAATCGAATTGGATTTTAAAGATAGTAATAAAAATGAATTCATCACTGTATCGTATTGAAGTATTATTGAAAGGATAACTGTTTTCAGATTGCCTCTTACCTCTTTTCCTTGCACTCGACGCAATGACGTAAAGGTATCGGATCTCCATTTTTGATTTTCAGGAATCAGAAGAAATTCGGATGATAAATTTGCGTTTCCTGAAACAAATAAAATAAGCCTACTTCAATATAACAGAAATAAAATGCTTCTAGATACCTACTGAAATGTCAATATTGGAATTGAATAAAAAATGATTATTTTTTGTTTTACTGATTACCTTTATCACTGGGCTAAAAAGATTCGGCCAATTTTTTTTTTTTCTTCTTTCCTAAGAGATAGGTTTGGCAGGTCAGGTAGGTTACTATTATGTCTATAACTCCAGTTACATATTCAGCTTCAGCTGTATTGTGCATATTTTTTCTTGATTTTCAGTAAATGTATACCAATACCAAAGATGAAAGACATCAAAAGGCTTACTTCTTCTCGTTTAACGCAAGCTAATTTCTCATATATATATATACTTTGTGAAATTTGTTATCTCCATTAAAATGTATGCAAAAATATTTTTTATTTTGTTTTTATATTTTTTTCCTGTAGGAACTATGCTTAACAACTGAAACATATCATATACCCTTGCTACCTTCGTCATCGATAAACGCTGAACTGGAAGAATCAATAATTCCTAATCCTGGCATCGCTGCTGATAATGTTGAGTTGAGAGTTTCTTGGGAAAAGTGAAATTGCTTCTTACTGTAATAGAATATTCAAATCACACATAGGCTAATATTATATAGGAATCAGGCTTTTAGTACAGCCTTGGGGTCAATATAATTCAAACTAATATATATATGTCAAATATTATGGTAAACTGGTTCATTGTCAGAAACGAGAGATAAATTCGAATTTTGAAATATACGCGACACCATACTGTAGCTGCTGTTTTACAATCTGTTTTCGAATAAATACCTTTGTGAGATAAATTAGGAATGCAGAATTGTGTGTTTTTTGCTCAAATATACACAAATTGAAAAGTGATTGTTCTTTTACTGTGGAAGATTTGGCGGACCTCCAGAAGTATGTGCACCAAGATGACGCACAACCTAAACATAGTAAGTGTACCAGGTTAAGGTTCAGGTTGTGCGCCATCTTGGTGCACATACTTCGGAAGGGCCGATTAGGCAAATATTCGAATGAAGCAGTGATGAGTGAACCAGTGAGTCATGGGTGCTCCAGCCAATGACTCGAGATTCGGATTATCCGCGACCCAACTTGACCCGTGGTTTAAGTTGTTTTACCCAACACCGAGATATACTGACTATTGTTTATGGCTATTTATGTTAACATTGAAAACAAAAGAGCGATTCTCAAATATATGGGCGCGAGGTCCAAAACAAAGTACTTTTTGCACGGTAATCTCTGAGTTTCGCGTAGGGTCGCGTCAAGTGTGAAACAGCCGTCACGCTTAAATACCGGTGGATTAAATACCGTTATAGCGGGATCTTGGATGGAATATCAGTTCTCATAAAATTCATAGAAAATTTAAGAATAAATGAAAACAATAATAGCCTTATCAAAGCAGTTGGTCCATTAGTAAGGCTATTTTTCGATAACAACAAGAAGAAAATACCAACAAGATCAACAACAACAACATAATGCCATACGTGGATAAAGGTCCATTTCGTGTCCAATAACGAAAAATAACTTACTTGATTGGCACTATATTCACTGATTTAACATCTTCACTTGATGTCGACGAAATACTGTCTGAATCTTGGTGGGCAATTTTTTGCCGAGGGGGGTTTCTTCGGGGTTATACCAGTGGACACATATTCAATATCTGTCCATCACAAAATAACTTTAACTCATTAGCGAAATAACAGATGGTGTAAAGTTACAACTGTTATGATAATAGTCTATCTACGAATAAATTTCCATGTTTGGAAAGCACACGAATATAAACGTTGCTATATACCAGGGGTGGTTAACACGTCGATCGTGATCGACTTGTGGATCGCCAGGTCTCGAGTAGTCGATTGCGTCTGAGGCTGAGTGAATTTAATAACATACCCCAAAAATTGCAGGACAAACAAAAGAAATACAGTACTGTACATGCGCAAAATACGATATATATACACATACATAAAGTATGTGAGTCTGGGGAGGTCCGATAGACTGGATAGACTGGATAGAGCATATTATTACGTACAAATGCAAGTTTCGCCGATGTCAAAGTTTCGGAATAAACTTGACGAATATCGTGTCTCTTGACTGACAAACGATCCTACAATAACTTCTGCAGTATGTGAGAGTTATTGGCGCACTGTAAGAGTAGTGTGATACATTTTATTCGCAATGGTAGCAGTGGCACCAGAATGCCTAATTTCAAGCGAACAAAGAAAATTGTAAATTAAATACCGAAGTTTGTTTAGTCATGTGACATATATGGTTTGGAAATATTGAATTTTCGCTGTTTAAATATTACACCAATACTTGGCAATGTTTTATAAGGAATTTTCAACGACTTAAAATTAGGCAGGGCGGAGATCTGAATTGTATTATTCGAATAAAACTTAAATAAATGATGAAACATTTTCTCCGGGTACAATTACATAATCAAATCAAATGGAACATGAAAAATACAAATTTTTGTGGCGATTTCATTAAGAATGCGCCGACGGAGTCAAGCCTATTGATAGCGGTGGAATTTTCGTATGTGTAGTTATCTGCATATTCAGTATACGGTACTCATTCGTTTTTGTGTAGGACCTTATAACCGATCAGTCGATGGCGAGCTATTTTGAAAGTTTTAGTCGATCGTGGTCGAAATCAGGTTGGCCCCCCTTGCTATATGCAATATATACAATTGCATTTTATCCCGTGCTGATTATTTAAACATTTCATACAATGAAATAATTCAAAAATTATAAAGTTAGACCCATATTTCATACCGTCTGCTAAAGTGGATCGAGGTCTGGTTAAAGGCGACTGAGGCCTCTTTCCTGGAGAACGAAGTCTTGTTGACGCTTTTCCTTGACTCGCCATCGGAAAACTAAATCGATTGTTGGTATCTTCTACGGATGCTTTATGCCGAGAAATTGATCCATCTAAATCTGTAAAATTTAAATATATAATATAATTTGATGGCAAAGTATAATCTTCATACAGAGAGAGTATAAAAGTCGAAAAATATAGGATATGCAGTTGAATCACAAAGCATAATACAGAAAATCCCAATGATATAAAGTTAAATATGGGCAGTTTGGTCTTATCCATATTAGTGATTGCCACAAAAAAGGCGAGGAAGCGTCGCAAAAACCCTGTATTTGAATATTCTATAGTATACAATCTTTTCATAATTAGCTTACAAAATCATGATGCTCTCACGAAACAGAAATAATTATGTTGAACTATACAATTGTTAACATATCTCGAAAACTAGAAAAATTTATATTCATAGCAAGGATAAATATATTGGTAGATGGAAAAAAATAAATCACAAAACAATTACTTTTATCTTTGTTGCGTAGTATAATTATTTCTTCTTCTGAATCTTCATCTGTAGCAGATGACAAGAATCTTCTTCTATCATTTCCGTCAACAATGAGACGCTGTGTTTGTTTTGGTAAAGGAGACACAACGGATGATGCTACTATATCTTCGTCGCTGTCAGATCCTGTACTTTCCGAATCATCGCTATATTTTTTAGATGGTTTTCTCATTTCCCCTGTGCTTGATCTTGGTCTTGGAGTTGGTGCAACAGAGGACACTAAAATAACAAAAAATTAAAAAAATGGAAGAGGCTGATTTCATTGAATTAGAATATTTTTAATCCCCTAGTTCAGCGGTTCCCAAACTATGAGTCGCGACCCACTGGTGGGTCGCAAAAGGAATCTTAGTGGGTCGTGAAAAGATGTAGAAAGGTTTGGTTAATTATACTGGTTATTGGGATCGATGGCGACTCGAATACGTAAATCTTCAAAAAAAAAAAAAAAAAAAAAAATTGAATTTAAATTCTAATCTGTGAAAGTTTCCCTTTTACGATCTTCTCAAAGGAACAAAAATTTGCTACACAAAGAATGACCATGTGGCATTTTTACGCAAAGCAGTTTTGTACACTGTACAGCCCTTCTTACCGTGTTTCCCCGAAATTTAGACAGGACTAAAATTTATTTTCTTTTCAAGAATAACACTTTTTTTTTTTGGAAGAGGTCTTTTGTGTTCATTTATCAAATACAAAATTACATTGTAGAAAATTTACTTTAATTTTACTAGACATTATATAAAAACCGACATCCATTGTTTTTATTTGTATTTCCTATACAAAAATCAAGTGAAAAATATCAGAATTGTAATATCACACAATCTTGAATAGTGGTGTGATCTTCACCTTACCTCAGGCCAATGAACCTTTCCTCTCCCACACAGTTTAAATTTATTTTAAGGGTAGGGTTTGATTGAAATCATTTCGAAAATTCAAATTATTATCTTATTTTCAGGCCAGGTCTCATTTTCGAGGAAACACGTTTTTTGCGATGTAGTTCTGTGTACGATGTTCTGTGTTAGGTCATAAAAAAAAACAAAAGAAAATTAAAGTTAAGTGGGTCGCCATAAGCTGTGGTAATAAATAGTGGGTCCCAACTCTAAAAAGTTTGGGAACCACTGCCCTAGTTAATGACAATAACAACAAAATAGCAAAACGATCCACGAGTCCATTTCGTGTCCGTCCAAATAAATCAATCTAACCGTACCTTTAAAACACCCCACACTCTTATAAAAACTCAATACAACCGCGTATCTTGATCAGACGATTCACGTTGTCCATTCCAGCTCGTGCCTTCAAACATTTTCACTTAACCTACAGTTTTCAACGCTCAGCTCCCGGAGTTCGATTGTTGCCTTTACTCATTTGTGCCCTTTCTGGCATATTTGTTTAGAAAATTTCATGAATACAAATTTGACCTTTACACACCTGACGGATTTGCCTTGACTGTTCCCTTTCTTTGTTTTGTGTCTTTATTCATTTTCGTTACAATTTTTCCATCTTTGTGACCGGATGTATTCTGTTCATACAATTGTTATAAAAGTATATATTACTGGATAATTTGTAACGGGAAATCTGTCGAAAACCAGAGAGTTTTGCGCAATGTTGTGCTTTGGCAACATGGGAACAAAAACAACTAAGCCAAAATGCTGCGAAAACGTTATATATTATTGTTATACAAATATTTCGCATCATGTAGAGCAGTGGTTCTCAAACGTTTTTAGTCCCAGAGTTAATTTCAAACCTCAAAGTTGTGAAGAGCCGCACACCAAAACACAAGTTAAAATAGCAACAAAATTTGAGCAAGCATTTAAAATACCAAGTCATCGTAACAACAACACACGTAACAACTAGGGCTGGGCAAAATATTCGAATAACGAATCGAATAATAATAATTCGAATGGCATTTTACTATTCGATTATTCGGTACCATGTGACCTACACCGCTTCGCTTGGACACCGAACTCGCGCGTCTCCAACTCAATCGTGAATTGTGCGAGATTTCCTCGCGGCGGTAGCTACCAGAAAAAGCGACACATTTGAAAAGTCGTTGTCTTTGCGTTATGGTGTTATATGCTTATCTTTGCACTTTTAATAGCATGGATTTAAAAATGACCAGTCAACGTTTCTCCAAAAGCTGGTATGAGTTACTTGTATGAAAAACACTCATTATGTTGTAACCAGATAAGAAATGTCATGTCCTACTCCCTTTAAAGCACTTTATATTAGCTCTTTAGTGACCCCTTCCATCCTTGGCCAAGGAATGTTTCGAATATGTAAGCATTTTACTCGACCATGCATGGCCGTAGAGCGAAGAGTAGAACGTAATATCAATCGTGAATTTCGTTGTAACAATGCACGCTGACTCGTTCAATATTTGTTGCGCCTATTATCATCGCAAATGATTACAATTGTTAAATTTTGAAGCATTTGGGAAGTAATAATTAGGGCATGACATAGTCAAAATCATTAAGTGAAGTGCTGAATTTGCAAATTTCGTAAATAAAATTGAGCATTACTCAGTAAGTATTTCAGCTATAATAACCGTCGGGGTGTTGTTTTGTTGAAAAAAAAAAACATGAAGGAATTAGTTATAATTAGCATTTGACCCTCTATTAGGCACAAAGACCTAGAAATACCTTTATTACCAATTTATTTAATCGCTATTTTAAATCAACATTCAGGATTCCCACAATCGCAGATTTGCAAGGTTTATCTATCTAATACTAAAATAAGACGGATACCATAGAAAAGCACGAGAAACTCAAGTATCGTTTTAATGAATATCTGCATCTCGGTTACCGTTCACTTTTAAACAGGCATGGTTAATTTACAGGCGGTGATAAGTAAGATCAAAGCCAATGCAGAGGATAAAACTCAGAATAAAAATACTAGAAATATAAAACTTCGATATCCAGCGACCCATTATATTTGCAAAAAAACGAGAAAGAGCGGAAAATATTCGCATGCGGCTCTCAAAGCCTAGTTTGAGAATCACTGATGTAGAGTATCCCCACAATTTACCTTCTGAAATAATGGTTTTCGTGATTCAGTTTTTTCTTGAATGTCTGGAAGTTGAATAGAAGCATTCTCCGCTACAACTAAGCAAGAAAAATTGAGCAAGGTAAAGGCATTTATGTGATAAGGTAATTATTGTTAAAAAAATACGGAACGTTCATCGATGCGCCGTGACGAAATAATTTCACCGTGGGCATTCCTGCAAAATTACAATTTCATCGTCAAAAATTTGATTTGGAGGAGATTTGGTGAGATTAGAAAATGAAATTACTAGAAAGTTACAGCAAACTTAGCTGCAAATTTTAAGTAAATATACTATTTTTTTTCATGTGGTGCCGATTTAATACTAGTAAAGTTTTACAGTATATATAATAAATTTAGCAACAACCATATGGGCAGAATGACTTAGCACCCGCGCATTTTTGTAAAATCCTTTTACGACCAGATCTAGCGTAGCATGATCGAATTACGCATATTTCAAAGAATCGATTTGCGGCGCCGTCTACGTGTATGAACGCATGACATTGAATCATAATTTCCTCTTTTAACAAATATTAGCATAAGCAAAACAACATACATCTATTGTGCATTCCAGTAAATACTGTTGTAGCTGATGGTGTGTCAAGGTCGTCAATTTCGTCCAAATTAATAACGGAATCTTGTTTTCCGCTCGATATTTCCTTAAATTCACTTCTATTTTGTTTGGTTGACGAATCATCATCCGATTTGTCGATACTGGAACTCTTCTCGGCGATGTTTCCAACTTTTGCAATACTCGGTTTTGTCCAGACATTAGTACAAGACAACAGAACCTAATAATACAATTTTTTTTTAGTTCTTTGAGATGATGGTGTCATCTAAACTGGGCAACATAATTATCGTTTTTTGGGCACGAAGGAGGTTTATATATCGCTTTGGTATCATGTTGTTGTTGTTGATAGAATTCTTTTTTTGTTTTTGCTGTTTTGAAAAAATCGCTTAATTCTGGACCAATTACTTCGAAATTGTCGATGGCTAAAGATGATTGTTGTCAGAAGGCTATTACGTTTATTTATTTCCAAAATTTCTGTGGGCTCTATTGGATTCATTTTTTGTGTGAGATGATTTTATCAAAATTAAAAATTGCGTTTTGTGGTGGTTCCACGTTTGCGATCTTTAAAATACGGGGGTCAGTCGATGTCGGAAAGACCATGATACCTGTACTGTAAAAGGTTATGTCCATATATTTGATCACTGCTCTCTAGTTCCCATCAGAAACTTTGATAAAATGTGGCTTGCGCAAAGCACGGTTTTAAATATTCGACGAGAAGTGACAAATAGTCATCCAAGGACAAATGACTAGAAACCGCAGAAGGTGACTATATTGTACAGTAGTTCACGATAGTATAACTTACCTTTTCAACATGACTCATCCATTGTTCTCTGCTATCCATATTGACACAGTTTAAAACATATACACGATCGGGAGTGTGAATAGTTAATCCATATCCTGTACAAGGTTCGAAGTGAAGGATGAGCTTGATTAAGGTTTTTTAAAGAGACATATAACAAAATGAAAATTGTTTCGAAGTGTTGTATCGGGACACACAGACATATTCAAAGCGTTGACGAACAGGTTTCAATAATACCATGATAGATTTCGAAGCATGTAACTGGTGATTAAACATGACAAGACATATTGGCTAGCTTAGATTACAACAATTTTGAAACACCTTGTTGTATCATATACCATGGGGGCCTGAACAAATACTTGTGAAATATCGAACCTTCTTCCCTTATGCCTTTGGGAAACCCACGCATGATTGAATATCCAAATGTTTTCGATCCAAGAGCAATATAACCAAGTGGGTGGGCATCAAGCGGTTGAGCATAATACCAAATAGCAGTTCCAATTAAACTGAACCATCGTCTTCTAAACTTCTCGTGCTTCTTTGGTCCTGTTTTGCTCATCCACCCTTCCTATGTTTAAAATTTGATAAGAATGTAATATAGGATGCTAATATTCAAATATGGTATTATATTTTTAAATTTGCTTCGATCAACAACATTATTTTATATTCACATACGAGATGTTTGTTTACTTGTGAAAATAATCACACAATTTATGGACAGTATTCATATTAATTTTGTGTAACAAGATCCACTACAAGCGTGACATACCAAACATCTAAGACGCGAAATGAAGCTAGCAAAGACCTGATACTGTAGCAAAATAGCATTGAAAATTTGACTTTGAATTTTTGTTATCTGTAAAACGACTTCCGTGTCATGGTTGGATAAACAGTCTGTATCACATCAGCTCACCATGATGATAGTGGTGTTGAGATAACGTCTGACGTCACTATCCGGAAAATCTTTATACTTGTGTCGAGCCATTGATGCACGAATTGCATGATACCAGTCTAGTAATATAAACAAAAATAATCTAGTTGTGGTACAAATTAAAAAAAATAGTTCATTTATGAACTGGGAAATCGTTGAGCGTGTATTATTATTTACCGTTACCTATACCGCGACTTTCACTTGCAGCAATACGACAGCTTATATGAATTGAAACCTAAAACTGGTGAAGTTTTGAAAAAACGCAAAGTAGGTACTGGCGTATATTCGTATACCCGTTGTGGTTTTCATATCTTCTCCAAATACGTATATGTTTCGTCGAACACCATCTTTTTCATATGTTATTTGCATTCCGCCCTCATTTCCAACTTTTTCGGGAACGAGATAAACATTGACCATATTCTTGAAATAAAAAAGAAAACACAGACACTGTTTTTAATTAGGTTTTCGGGGAATTTACTGGTAGTTGTATTGAATGAAACCCCAAAACTGAAAATGTGGACATTATTGCCGAAAAGAATGGAAGTCATGGTAAGGAATAGGATAGCTGTAAATATTGAACATACTTTCATATGAATATTGTCCTTAGGATTTTTATCGCTGTATTTGATGAAATATTGAAGCTTTCCTTCTGGCTCAATGAGAATAAACTTCCTCCGTTGAAATCTGAAATCGATTTTACGAGTTAATAGTTATATTAATTACCTGCAGCTTATATAAATATTTGTTCATTTAAAATACAGTGATGAAATAAATCAATTTGCTAGAGTGGCTTATAAGGTTTTGCCCAAAATAACTTTGCTTTATAGTTACATACTTGTGAAAAATATACGCATATCAGAATTCCAAAATAGAAAATTTGAATGATAAATTGTAAGTACTACCAGTTCGATCAAAATAATTCTCATTTTACAGCAGATATCATTTAATTCGGTTGGTATGTTGATAGGAATAGCAGTTCGCGTGATTTCAAGCTGATTATATTTCAATATTTGATGTTGCTCCAGTTTTCTCAGGAAGATTAAATTTTAGAGGTATAGAATTTTGGGATCAAAACTTTTTTCTGTAAACATTAATATTAAATAAGTCAGAGTGATTAATAAATTTTTAGGAGCTAAACATCTTTTCAGGTCGACTTTATCTTTAACTGTCCCAATTTCACTATTGACACAAAATGACTCACTTTTCCTGGTCTTTCAGTCGTTTGAAAAGCGCTCCTGTTTTTGTTCCTTGGTTGTACGCACTTTGCTGTGAGAAATCTTTAAACTCCTCTCGCACATACTTCGCCATGATCCATTGCTCTAGATTTAAATGTATAAAATAAATGTAATATCATGAGTACAGACTATTTAATATTTTATTTTCTGACCCAAGTGAAACAAATCAACAAACCGAATAAAATCTCTGGATCATCCGGACGAGGTCTGTGATAATATATTGGCAGCAATTTTTCATACTTAGAATTGGCAGATTTGTTTCCTTCCGTGTATAAGAAATCTACTTCCTCTTTTGTCCACCTGGATAATAAAAAACATATTATTTATATAACAAATGATAATAATATAAAATATTGTTAGTGTTGCTGCGTTTTAATATATTCCAAATCAAGGTACTCCTGAAGTATGCGCACCAAGATGTCGCATAACTTGAACCCTAACCTGGTACACAACCTGAATTCAGGTTGTGCGCCATCTTTGGTGCGCATACTTCAGGAGATCCCAAATCAATGCCATACAATCATACATGAATTATCAAGGCAATGCTAACGTGTTGGAGGTTTTGGAAACAACGTAAACAAGTATTTCGTCAGAACGAGTTGAAGGTTAAGTTTCAATATGATTTGAACTATATCTTTAAGACAACTATTGGAAACCTAAATTAACCAGTCACGTGGTCAGGTGTATATATTTCGGTTGAGAAATATAAATTTTTTCTAATTTTTCGGAAATAAATGCCACTATGATTTTCAGTACGTGGCATCTGGTAGTAAATTTCAGACGGATAATTTAGTGATATCATCTTGAAGTAAATTCTTACGCTGAGTGGAATAGTCTAAGATGCTTACAAAACATGAATTGGAGCAAATGATATTGTATTGCTTATATTATAGCCAGTTATAGGTAGTATATAGAAAAATAATGCTGAAGTATTAATTCAACTATATATATATAATCGAATACGTGGATATAATAGATTAGAATATGAATTAATCGGCCATGTTTAATATACTGAAATTTTGCAAATTGTCGATCTAAGAAAACAAATGCCGGAATCGCTTGTAATATATTATTGTAATTCTCGACTAGGCAGTCAATCGTGATTAATTTCTCACGTTTTGTTACTGTTTTATTTAAACTTGCCTGTGACTCAAAATAGAGACTACATCGCTGAGATCCGGAATGCACTTTTGGTGCAATTTAGCGCAAATCGGACATAGAAACAATCCCAGAGATGTCGAAGCGTAACTTGGATTCGGCCTAAAACATTCTGCACAAGCGTTATTTTCGGGATGTTCAACCAGTTTTTGTATAGATTCTTTGTGTCGTTGCTCAGTCATATCCAAAATTCCCTTATTTTCCTATATAGCATTTAACAATTTCTTAAATTTTAACAAGCAAAATAGTGCTATTCTGTTATAGTGAACCTGTTTTATTTCATCAGCACTAAGTTATCCGAAGATACTAAATATTAGTAATACACAAGGCCTGAAATTGAATAAAAGGAAGTTATGTAAAATCATACACCAAAAAATACCTTCCTGAGCGAAAGTACCTTATTCAGACATCAGGTCGTTTCGAGGCAAGAACAATATAAAACCTTCTAACAACAAGTATTGGACTCAAAATGATGTGATGCAGGTAGATCATTAAAGATTTTAGTCATCCTGTCTTAATCACTATATAAGAACTTAGGGATGGCATGAGTCAATTAGCAAAATACAATACTATACGTTTACCGTTCAGTCGATATCCATATGGTCCGAGGCCAAAGGAACGGCTTTACATGATTAGATATACAAATACTGCGATGACTGCTCACGTAGCCGGCAATTGTTTATTTATTTTGAATTGTGTGTGTGTGTAATATTTCACCAGTAATACCGGCTTCTGCCTACGCAGTCTGCCACGATATTTGTCTCATAAATCCATTTCCTACATAACCTAGAGCTGATAAACAAACTATATGAAGTGCATGTTACTTCATAATGACTCGGTCCGAGCCTTCTAGAACTACAACTGCGTCGCCTATTTTCTGAATATTTCCGACATCTTTTATATATATATTGCTTCTCAAATATGGCCGGCACTAGAATAGTAATCCAGCACACATTTTTGGCATCCCTAAATGTCTATTTTCACGTATTCTAGGGAAGTTTTTATACCATTATGACACTGTAAAGAAAACTCATTTGGCACATGCAAACTTACAAGTCTCTCGCGCAGTGCCCAACTAATTTCTTTACTACTAGTTTAAATATGGAATCAACGCAACTATATTATGAACAGGAGTCCAATCAGAATTGTTATTTAGTGCCCGGGTACTTTGAAAAGAATTTTCGGACCTCCTGAAGTATGCGCACCAAGATGGCGCACAACCTGAACTCAGGTTGTGTACGGGGTTAGGGTTCAGGTTGTGCGACATCTTTGTGCGCATACTTCAAGATAACCGAATTTTCAATAACTTCACGGAATACCCACTTGCACTCAAACTACCGTAATAACAACCCCATCAGCAATAGTATACGTCAGCTTCAAAATGCATGATTCAGATACTTCACGAAACTAATGGAAACCGTACTACAATATGAAACACTCGTCATAGTATTCAAATCGAATGCTTAAATGGCGAGAAATCTATTAAATTAAGCTACCTAATACCTATAAACCTTAATACTTATTCACACCTTTTACTTGGCAATCTTTGCTCACAAGGACGTAATACTCATCACGAGCCAACTATTGTTGAAGTAGGCCGGATACTGTGGGCTGGATAGAATGAAGTGAGTCATCAGCAGCAAACCAACTCGTTTTCAAGACATTATTACCAAGCTCGTCCGATGACATTAGAGCAGTAAATCAACAATGGACATTGTGTGGTACAATAACCAACAGATTAAAATGGTTAACAGTTCGTGAGGCTGCGTAATACTGCGTCACTATCCAGTGACTATTATCATTGAAGTTATGTCGTTTAGTTATTCTCCTCGGAAAATTCTGAATACCAATTCAGACCTGTGATGTACTCAGTCTCACGAAATTTAATGAGATCAGCGAACCGATTAGCATTACCGGTTACTGTCAATGTTCTGTTTGTAATAGAACCGGCTAAAAAATATAACTTTTGTGAAGGAACCGGCTGACAAAAATTTTGAATCCCACCGCTGGATGTACTGTTAAGTAAATTGCTTGCATCGATGCATGTGCAGACTCCATCAGTCTATATAAAGTAGTGGAATAGGTAAAAAAAAAAAACTATAAAGGTCACGTCCAAAATCAGCTTATCGGTTCACTTTGTTGCTTTCATAAAAACAACACAATGGACTTCTATCTTTTGGATGTTAGGTTTATAGCAGGGGTGACCAAGGTTTTTGAACAAGGAGCCAAAATTTTGCCCATCTAGACTGACGGGCCATGTAAGTGTGAGATAAATAGTTACATTCTATGAACAATATTTACAGTGTCACAAAGAAAAGGTGGAAAACACTATGCTTCGTGCGAAAACTAAATTTAACCGCAATCTTAACAAATTCCTTGAGCTGAAACATCAAAAGTTGATTTCAGTTTGGTTGTGGCAGCAACAGGAAGGCCAGAATGAATTACTCAACGGGCCGGATTTGTCCCGCGTGTCGTACTTTGCTTATGTCTGGTCCATATATGATACTTCAGCTCCCTTGGCTGTACGCTATTTTTTCTTCAACAAAAAAGCGGTGCTCAAATATAGGAACACGAAAGCTAGTAGGCCTACGGGTATGCAATCTGTCATAGTAGACAACCGGAAAGGCAATCTTCACGACTAGCACGAAAGCGAGACGGCACAAGGTGCACAATTTTGGAATAAATAGAAACGGATTGAAGTAATTGCTCTGTTTCTTATGGGGAAAAAGTCACGGTACTCGAATACCCATTCTGAACGAATTATGTTCGACTACCAAGGTATCACTGTAGGCCTTTATTTGTTCATTTCGTGTCCAATAAACAATCACTCATCGTCTTAAGATAGAGTATAGTTTGTTTCCAAAGAATTCGCACCTGATATGCCTTCTCATCATTTCAAATAGAGTGGAATTTCCTTACGGCGATGCCCATGAGATTTGGGAATCCAGGCAATTTCGCGTGATCTTATCCTGGTATCGCTCGAAATTGTTCACGGATCGTGATAGTCTCATCGCAGCTCTACTGTAATAGATATGCAGCATACTTCGGACCCATGGCAGTATTACAGTAAAACCGATTCCGTAGTTAAATGTCATTTATTATACAGAACTTTCAGTGATGAATGTGCAACTTTCACTTTCAGATAGCTTAAAGAAAAACAGCATCAACTTCGATCAGGAGTTACCTACTAGCTTTATCAGTTCCGTACGATACAATAGGAATGTACCATCAGATAGTGTATTCGACACGACAAAAAATATTGATTCGAAGCGTTTCTCACTACTTTCCTAAAATGTCGATAATATTGTCCTCTAACAGAATGCGCCGCACTCGAATGTCCCTAATTGAATAGACGCTCTTGCAATATAATCGCGAACGATATATTCTGACCGGAAACTGATTCTAAACTTCTTGCCAAATTTTCATAATCAGCAATATATTTTACATTTTTTTGGTGTGTACAGTTGGTGAAATTATTTAGAATAAAACTCCGTGGGAGATTAATTTGCAATTAACTAATCATTTTTGCAAAAAATTGTACATCATAAAGGTGATTTGTACCAGAGATGTCAGTTAATGTTCGAAAAAATCGTAACCGTTAACCATATAAAATCGGTTAACCGAACAACCATTCCCAGCCCAAGTGGTGCTATTGTGGATATAATTTAGCATCGTGTCACACAATAGTTTTCAGTCAATATGGACCAGTAAGGTAATCCCATAAATATCGACCGTCTCATATAGGTTTATATTTATGTAAAGCTGTGTACAAACATCAACTGTTTTGGCGACAAGGTTACAAAATATAGCCTAAAACGTACATATTCTCATTTTTTTATAAGCAATTAATTAGCTGCGTTTTACAGGATTAAAACAACGATTAGTTATAGTTTCATGAGAAAACTGCATTGTTTATTTTTCCACATTACTGTTGCTATTTTTGGTGGATGTGTTTTTGCTAAAGAGATTTCAATATCCAACTGATCACAATAACCTAGTCCAATCTGCACCACTCAGCAAATACCAGCACTTACTTTGAAGTGTGAATGTATTAAAGCAAGAAATTTATTCCCAGACTGTAAAGCATATACTCATCTGCATACTCAAACACGAGAAATAATATACATTTGTGCTTGGGTTTCTACCACCAAGGTATGAAAATTGTTCTGGCCTACATTATACCGCAGCAGCATGTCTAACTCGGTCTCTTGACTGCTGATTCACCAGCAGCCACATATCGAAATTATCACAAAACAATTTGCTGAGTTTATATTTATGTTTTGATGTTTTTGTCATATTAAAAAATGCCCTTTCGCAATCTCTCGAAAAATGCATAGGTGTATTTTTGCACCAATGTGTGCTAAAAGTGAAAAGTTATTTTGCTATGGCAGAGTCACTTCGACATTTAAAAATTAAATGAAACACCTACAAAAAAGCACCATTATTTGGACACTTATAAATTATTTAACTACAAAAAAATTAGTTGTATATATCAAATAACTTCAGTAATATTTTACGAAAAGTTGAATACTGAAATTAGAAAATGATCTTCATGTACCGGCATAGTAGAAAAAAGTTGGAAAATTTCATTTTACTGCTGGATTCGGATGTGGACGTAGTGAAATTGCCAAGGCACTTGAGGCATGTGCAAATAATTTGTGTCATTTTAGTAAACATATACATAATGATGAATTTACATGATAAATTATAGATATATATATATATTGCTTTATAAAATGAACTTATATTACTACCTCGATGACGGTACAGAGCCCCTTAAGATGATTGATATAGTATACAAATACATCAAAGACACATTGTCTACGAACTATTTCACTTATAAGAAGTCTGAGCATAGATTTCATTCGCGATTATTTCCGTTGTTACGATTTTTTGGTTTGAAAAGCTGATCACCACCTTCTGCATATGTAGGATTTGATATTAAACCATCTTCCATATCATTGACATTGTAGTAACTATTTGAAGGCAGATTTTTTGAGATATCTTCAGTACCTGGAAATAGTAAATGACGGGAATAAATTGAGCAAGTAAAACAATCTTTGTATTACATCAATACATTCACTGTGAATACACGAACGGTACGGTACTATGCCTGTCCTCCTTCGATGTTCAGCATTATTAAGATTGAAAAAAAATTGTAAAGAGTATACCGAAATAGTATGTCAGCATTTCGAATGTAAATAGAGACTATCTTTATCTGGCCAATGAATGGACTATCTGTAACTGGAAGGAACTTATGCTGATTTGTTTTATATCACACTATAGGATGGAGAAATGCTGATATCTCAGAAAGCTATGAACATTATAAGAAACGTTCATTTATAGCCTTTTCACATCTACAAAGAGCCGACCACTACAAATGACAGAAGGAAAAAAATTGCATGTTTCCTGGAGTATATATTAAAACCGAATGTTTAATCTGTTATTGTTTAGCTTTGGATCCCCTTGTGATGATTGTTATTTTTCATGCTTTGATTCCGTTTTAGATAGCATAAAATAACTCCATAATTCTCATCGATTTCACCCCCAAAAAAATCAAAATGTTGTGCAGAATGCTTTCCCCATCAAATGCCTTAGAGAAATCCCTAATTCATTATTCAGTAAACGCCAATTTTATAAAAACGAGTTGTAAATAAGGTTGAACATTACATATATTGCTTATAGCACATGAATAGCTATGAAAACCGTATATTCGAGTTCCAGTGATAGGAAACATAGTCACCCCTATTACCAACAACTGATTCCATTTTAGGAATGAGCTCTTACTCTTTTTTCATGTTTCAGCCGTTAGACGACTGCAACTAGCGTTATTTTTGGCGTTTCAAGAAAATTATGTATTAGATTTGTGTGGAGCATGTCATGTTAATGTAGCTTACGTAGTGACATACACTACTAAATATGACCATTTCGTTCTGTATTGTTAATTGTTATAGAGCTATGAGTTCAACATGGTTTCCTTTGAGAGAATCCTAATATTCAGATATCTAATCTGAAACTAAGCCAAAAACTGTTGAATACTCACTATCAGTTTCGTTGACATACATGGGTTCTTGAGGCATACTTTCTTTCAAACGAGGCCTTGAGGTTACCGGGGAATCAGGGACAACGAAAGAAGACTGCTTTAAAGCACTAACGGAAGGATTAGCTGAAGCTCCCTTCGATTGATCAACGTAAGTATTTTCTGCAGGTTTGTCATGATGGTGCATGGGTGATTTATTGAGAACACCAGGACTACTCTGAGACACGCCAGATATTGCTTGTTCCTTGGATTCATTCCGATGTGATGATGTTGTACCACCAGTGAGGAAACTTGGAGTTTCAGATGTTGATGGCACAAGGTAACCTTCTTCATCCTGTAGTCAGTGAAAAAATTAAAACACATCACACGTGTTGAGTAATTTGATAAATTTTTACAGCATTAGTACAAATTCAAATTATTGACTAACAGAGAGACTGAGACACCAACACACATTGGATCATTCGCATATTGACTATATTGCATACTACCGTAATTGCAATATTTGTATTCATTAAGTTCCAAGTTAAGTTAAGAGGTGCATGCCGCACATTTGTGTTTTAGGCCAGCACGGTCTTGCACATGCATCCCGTCTTAAATAATAATAATTGTTCATTTATTTATGTATCACTATTACGAGACGAATAAACATACATACATACATACAAGTTTTATAAATAACCCCAAAGTCCAGAAAGGCATCAGCATGGCCAGGCATGACTGTCATTATGAGCCGTTCTAGTAGTTAATTGATCCTTAATCTTACACTGCTTAATATGCCTATTTTGACGACCTTTTGAGCGAATTTGACAGAGAAACAAGAATGAAAGTTACTAGTCACATATACAATTTACCAATTCTATCAAATCTTAGAGCTATTAACAAAAATACAAACACAATATAAACATATTATTACCTTTTCAGTAATGGCTGAAATTGGCTTGTGAAGTCCAGAATCTGGAATAACAATTAAAAGACGGTTATTGCAAATATAAACTAGAAAAAGAATAACTTAACTGCGAGAAACAGTATAGTAATGAATATAGTGTCAGTTATCTGTAGGGTTGGTTAAATAGTCCCAATCGTCAGATTGGGCTATCATTTGACAGCCGGTCTTCCAAGGGTAGATGCATAAGGTGTGTACTGCCAAACAAGCGCAATGTTCATGTAAAGGTTTATTTTATTTTTTATTAATGAGTTCAAATGTCTCTAGCCTAAATGAAAACTAAAAAATGTGCCATGGTGATGGTGTTAAAAGTATAAGAATGTTAATACAACCAAAAAAGTCAAGCTGAAAGTAAAAAAAAAAAAAAAAGGTGTGACAGATGAATTTGGCAAACAGAGTATAATGTATTATTTCAATTCAGTAAATATATTACAACCTGGAGAAAATACAGAGTCTCCTGTGCTTGCACTTTCCGAGGTTCTCAGCATGGATGGGTATGGATGATGATCCAGATTAACATAGGTTATATCCAGTCCTGTAATATATTATGGAAATATAGTCATATTATTATCGAATATAGGTAACATAGATGGTCATTGCTATGTATGAAGTTTTTTTTTGTGTCTATTAACAGGTGGTCATTGTCAAGTTGTCAACACTCAGATTTTTGCCCCATCAAACATAAAATCCTAATCCGATAGTTTATGTTTAAAAAGTCGCCCATATGGGTGAAAAATAAAAAATGTTTTTTGCTCTTTTTGCTGCGTTAATTCTTTCGCCGTTTTGCTTGGTGCTTTTATTACTGAAAGGCTGAGCGATTCTTTTCATGTGGCCCAGCTAGATGTCTGAAGTTGGTTATATGGTCCACTGACAAAAGATGTACATCCCTGTCTCAAATGTTCTGGGCATTTTTACCCATTTCCCAACACATGTTTCCAAATTTCTACATTTGTTCGTTAGTAATTGGTTGGCAATCTTAGTACAACTTATTGGAGATTATAGTTCAATTTCGGACTGCAGTTCAGGGGGAATGACATCAAAACGTTCAAGACTCATTATGTTAAATCTGGCAAATTAGTGAACTATTTCACTCTACCGGTAAAAAATTTTCATGGAAAGTTTAAGACAAAATATATTTAAAATTAGTTCTAACCTGGATAGTGCACACCATGGACATTCATGTGAATTACAGTTATCAAGTCAACAAGTTCCTCAAATGTTGGTCTGTCATTGGCACTGGGAGCCCAACATCGCAACATGATTTTGTATAGTTCATGAGGACAATATTCAGGTTGTTTTAATCGACGTCCATCAAGTAGATAGCTTGAAAAATCGAGACAAAAATAAAACCCCAAAGTACTATATTAATTGAAACCCTTACAATCCCCATGCACTGATCAATGACGGCATACATTGCAATCAGCACAACTATAGTCCTGAGCACAAGTTAACTTTCAATTTGTTTTTAATGGGCCGACAGGGTTCCCAATTTGAAACACTAAGACTTCAAAGCTAGAATTTTATAGATATTTTTACTACATTAAAATCGCATGCTTTACATAAAACCAATACATAAATTTCAAAGTGCCGAATATAATGCTAGTCATCACTCGTCAGCTACGGGGATACATTACCCATTTGCTAGGATGGGTTCATTAATTATCACGACTTATGAACCCCCTGAATACCATCACTAGTAACAATACAACATAGAACATAATAAAAAAACATAGTCCGTCAAATCGATATCGATTTTACTTGCAATAGTAATACATGAAGAAAAAATTTCTTACTCGCACACATCAAATGCATCGACATCTGGATAAGGAGTAACACCTCGTGTAAGCAATTCCCACATCAGAATTCCAAACGACCACACATCAGTTTTTGTGTTGAATTTCTGTTGCTGTAAGCTCTCTAATGCCATCCATTTCACAGGCATTCTTCCAATTCTATCATGAGGTTTGTAATATTCTTTTTCATAGATGTCTCGTGCCAGACCAAAGTCTGCAACCTAAAACAGCACATTGAACCATTAAAAAGAGAAATTCAGTTAATGGGTCTGATATTTTTAAAGAGTGGAAAGAAGCAAACACATTTCAAAATTCTTTACTTAATCTAAGACTCTGTATTCAACTCTGGAATTTATGATTTGTGCCTAGTTGACACACTATTATGGAAGGCGGCTCCTTTCAATAAGATCACCATTTTGTCATAATGCTGCATAGTGAATAAGAGTTAACAATATACAATGTTAAATGACTTCACGCAGAAGTAGTGGCCTAGTACATAGGTTCTCAAAGTGCTCTAAATGAGGCCCATTGGCTCTGTGAAAAAAGCCCAAGGGCTCTGCGATCTATTCTTTACTTAATAAAATACTGACTTGACTAATTCTGTCCAAGGAGGCAATAACGGCATTAATAAAATTTGACAACGATAGCGCAGAAACAGCAAGTTGGTAATTTGACTATGACATTACATACGAGTTCCGATAGATAATGCCATAGTTCAATTACCATCGCCTTGTTGCCACAATTTGGATATTTTTAAATATAAAGCAGCAAATACATCCGAGTCATTAAATAAAGATATTTTAATTTACTCACAAACATTAATCGGTAAGTAACAATGTGTTTTCTTGTTTTTATTTTTATAAATTTATTCTGAGGCTCCGTAAATAATAGACAACCTCATCACAGGCTCAATAACACCAAAAGTTTGAGAAGTACGGTGGTCATCGAGCACAAATAGTATTATATTATAAAACAGTCGCAATTAGTATTAATTCTTCAAACTCCAATCAAATGACAAAAAAAGATGGAAAATATTTTTTCCATATATTATACGTGGAAATTGATGAGTGATTTATTTTGTGTGATCAAATTTGCCTTCCAGCATGGTGTTTTTGCCATGTTCAAGCTGAGATATTTCTTTTATTCATGTCATTAACATTGATGATAAACGCCTACATTATTTGCTTTGTATGATGTAATGACCCAATATGACTCAATATGATTTACTTAATCGAGGTAATCATATAATTAAGTAAAAGGAGAAAATCAATCAATAGGATTTTACTTCGTTGGTCTCATGATTTCAAAAATTGAAAATCATGCAAAAATAACTTCAATTAAAGTGGAAACTATATAGTATCCTCATATTTGGGCAGGAGATAATATACATTTTTTTCTAAACTTGAAATTATAAAAAGAACTTCAAAAATTTTTATTTAAGAGATACAGAGCTGGAAATATGTTCCAAAATGTACCTCAGAATTCTATGTAACTACTTACTATTGAAAAGACAAAGAAGTACAACGTCAAAATGTTACAAATTAAGACCAACTTATCTGTTTAATTAACATATTGGTGTTAGGTAAAGAGCTATTAGTTTGGAAAGATCGGTTTCATCCGGTATATTTCCAGTTTGGCATCTCATACCCAATTTATTACACCCTGAGTGAGGTGGTGAGCATGGGATTTGAAACTGTAATTATCAACTCGTGATGTCATCATAGTTACGATAAGTCTGGCGCTTCAACCACAAAGTCACCGCCGCTCACAGTAGAACTACTTTTACAGACTGACAAAAAAATGAACTGAATTACCTTTACAGTAAAGTCTTCATCCAGCATACAGTTCCTTGCAGCAAGATCACGATGAACAAATCGTTTAAATGCTAAATACTTCATTCCTTTACATGCTTGCAAACCAAATCCTATGAGATCTTTGATTGTAGGTCTAAAGTAAAAAAATTATAAAACTTTTTTAGAGATGACTACAGCTTTGCAGCCCAACTACCCATACTAAAGAAGTAAAACTGAGATGTTTTATATTTCCTTGGTCAGTCATGGTCTATATTAGGGGTGTGCAACTATTGTTACAGGAGGGCAAAAAATTGGGTAAAACCGCGTGTCGTACCTTTTTTTAACATACATTTTTACAAGCATAAAAATTTTGGTTATTGATCTTATGACATGCGTAGTTCACTTCGCACAAGCTAGCTGTTGGAGCATTGTACTGACATAGGCACAGATAATAAATTGGAGGGCAGCGGCTTTGCAACAAAAAGGGATTGGAATTACTCGCACATGAAAGATTAAACTAAATTAGAAACGCGTTACGCCGGCCGCGCACCATTCAAAATTGGCACTTCAGCATGTGCCGCATTTGGCCCATGGGCTACAGGTTGCACACACTCGATCTATATAATTAGTATGAAGTTGAAAAAAAATTTGCTGGAATTCATTTAAAGTCAAATTTAATTAACTTCTGCCGCTTCTAATTCATCATTCGGAATAGATTTTTCAAAAAATTCGATTTCATCACGCAAAGATATTCTCAAAAAAATTTCTTCAGTTCTTTATATGCCTATTGCTCCAATCAAGGCTAAAGAGCAATAGAGCAAAAATATTGAGTAGAATTGGAAATTTTTGATTTCACAAAATATAAATATAGATTAAGAAACTTAAGTGAAAATGCCCAATAAATCAAACCTGTTACTAGGATTTCGAATGAACATCAGTAAATCCCCATGCTTCATGAATGGCAAGACAACGAATGGAGAGGAATAATCTTCTAGCAGAACACCTATCAAGGTTAGAACATGTTCATCTTCAAAATCTTTCATCAAAAGAGCTGAAAATATAAAAAATTTAGATGTAATAAATAACATATATTTCTATACAATCTCATTTTGTTATATCAACTTGATTGCGTTTACTATTAGAAATTTAACACTACAACAATGGAAAATGTAATTGGTAAATATTAGGTCGGCAACCTATGGCCCACAGGCCAGATACCATTCTGTATTTATTAAAAATATTCATATTACTCGATATAAATATTCAATTTTGTCCACCTCTAGTTATTTGGTTGGTACGTTAATAAAGTGTAATTAGGACGATATGGCAAGTTACAGCGTTCTATCAACACAAAACAAAAAGTTTTTTCAAGTGGAAATAATTTGTGGCCCGCCAAAAAGTCGACCTATGTTGTAAACTAAGCATGAATTCTACATGAGACTCATCAAACAATAGGTTTTTCTAATCACAGAAAAAATGACTGAATAATAATAATACAATATGTAAAAATAACAAAACAAAAAAAATTTAATGTTGCACTGAATATCACAAAATTTGGTGTATCGTAAAAAAATTAATTAAAATTAATAATTAAAAAATCAAACTTCCAACAATATACCAATAAAGGTAATATTTTTATTCACCTTCCTTGAGAAAGAGTTCAATAGAATGATAATCCTCAATTCTTGACATTGTTTTAATTGCAACTCTCACTCGATCAGTGACACCATCAGCAGGATAATAAGTTCCATGAAAAACCATGCCAAAATTCCCTTTGCCTACAACATGGAATGAAAAAAGGATTAAAAAATGACAGATTCAAGAAATTGCTGTGTTGTAAAATGCAAACCACAATGAATTATTACTAGAAGTCACTATTTATCTTTGTTGAAAACATTCTTAAATTATTATATTGGACCTGCTACCACCAATACAATGGCTAATAGTGCTTACAATAATCAATCAAAATACGAGAGGCAGGTATATAATCTCCCAAAATACCAATTTGCTTCGTTATGCAACAAAATTAAGATCCGAGAAAATTGATCGAAAAAAAAGCCATAAAACACATTATTAACATCTCTGAAAACTATTAAACAACAATGGTTATACCGGTAATTCTAGTATCATATTAGTATCAGTACAAATATTGTATTTTTATTCACAGAATTCTTTAGTTAAGCCGTACTTTTCTGTGGTATCAAAATATTAATTTACCAATAATATTATCCTTGTCATATTCAAGCTGAGATGACTCAATAAGCAAAGGTGTGATTTCATTCAATAAATCCGATGGTAATCTCTGTCTTATTGAACTAATACTAAGGAGTGGAACTCTGTCTTCATTACCATGTTGCTCATTTTCATGTCTGTAGGCAAATTTGTTAATAATCATAATGAGGACAGTGTAAAGAAACAAAGCCATGATATGTACTTAAGATATATTACAAAAACAAATCTGAATATTGCGCAAATCAGGAGACAGCTGTAAAAAATCAGTAAAATAAAAGAGAATTTCAGCGTTACATATGCAGAAATTAACCTTTAGTATAAGAAATGGGTGTGCCGCGATATAGACAGAGTTTACTTTGACTCATCTGTCAACAAAAAGGGTGATATATACATGATATAAGCAATGTACACAGGAGTGACAAAACCTGAAATATGGTTTATATCACTATTAAAAGTCCTAATATAGATGGGGATACCAGCATGTGTCGATCGATAAAGCAATATTCATATCTGTAGGGGCGATTGTGAACATAATAAAACGAAATATTTCACAAAAGTTAAGCCTTCAAGCTGCCACATACAATATATGATAGGTTGATGCTTCACTGGTCAATCTTACAAACAAACAAAAAAACAGGTAAAATAAAAGTGATTCATACTCGTTGTGATGTGTATAATGTACTCCAAGATTATTCCCATTATTGCCAGGTGCTGAAACCAATTTCTTTTTCTTCTTGATACATCTGCAGATGAAAAAAACACACCCAATAACCAGCAGTGTCAGCAGCACCTGAAACAAAGTTTCAATGTCAGTGAAAATGTCCAAATATCTTTCATTCTAGGTCATGTAGGTTTAGCTATATCAGTGACAGGGCGAATAGACCTTTCAAATATATCTATGCATACATACGTAGAAAGGCCTTAATTTAAAATCCAGTAATATTTTTGCTCTCTTTGAAGATACAGGTCAATTATCAGCAATTACTAAAGCATAGAGACTGGTTAAGGATAAGCCTGACACTATTCTAACACAAATTTCAGTTGCTATTAATTAAAATTCTATTTCTCTGCAAATTGATATGCAAATATCTACAAATACAATATATTAATGGTTATGAGAAAACAAATAGAAGTTGACGTTTTATTTAAATGTGAGAGAAGCTACATATAAATTTAACCCTAATTCAACCCTAATTTAACTTCTAAATCAATGGTTTTATAATTCTGTTCAATGCGTCTGTAGTCAATTAGTTCCTTAATTATTTCTGAAGACTGGTGAATTTATTTCTCCTTACTTATTTAGGCATGACAACATAATATGTCTGGTTGTCAGGTTGCAAGATTTAGAAAGAAGTTTGGTCAGATACCATGGCTGAGGGTGCAAGTTAGAAAGTGGATTCAGAAACATTGACAAAAAATTGTCATTTTCTGATTTTATATAACAGTATTTCCTTCATGTAGGATGTGTCATCACTCATCATATATGTAGAAAACTTTTGGGGAGTCAAATTGTCAAGGTTATTACTATAGTAGGTGATCGAAATGACCATATAAGTGATCATGGCACAACTGAAATCGCCATGCTGCTGATATGAATGAAATTTATCAAACTATTGGACCAAAATAGAATAGAATGAGTGTTGATATGACGTCAATAGAAGCCTCATGGGAAAAACAATTTATTCAAGGCAGGGGCTCTGATGAATGAAATTTATTAAGAAACTAATCTGCGTGATTGTTTCAAATTAGAAAGCAATGAAATTATTATGAATATTGCAGCTTATTTTAGAAGCACATTCAAATTGCCTCTTTTCTAAGTTTCACAACCTAATTTGAAAAAGCATAGCTCCACTAATAATAACAAAATTGAGCTGTTAAGCCCAGATAGGTGAATGGGAATAAATTTATAATTCTACAAATCCAATTACCGTAGTAAATAATTGAATATAAACTCATTCAACAAATATTCAAAACAGGCTCTTTGCTTTAGTCAATATTCTTCTGTACAGAAGCAGAAAATTGTAAAAGCTGAGTCCAGGTTAAAATAATATTATAGATAGATTAGTATCACTGATAATTCTATTGGGTAAAATTATCAAATCAACTCCCAATCAAACTATATCAAAAGCAAAAAATTCAAAATATAGAGCTGTTTAATACTTACTCCACAGATAACACCGACAATTGTTCCAGTATTCGAACGAGATATATCAATTAATCCGACCTGTTTCTTCAGGTTTCCCATATAAACAGTAACAGGAAAAACTTTATTGTCTGTGTTATTCGCAATGTATGATCTTTTAGCTGCAGGAATAAAAAAAATAACAATGCATGTTACTGCATACTGCACACAGTCCGTTTCACAATCACACAAAGACGTAAAATTTGAGTAGTGATATTTATGTTATGGTGTTTTTGCTTTATTTATTTTCAATTCATATGATATCCTTTCAATTTCTAAATGAGCATGAGACATTCACCACAGCTGCCTGTGGCTGTTGATCAAAACTATTCCAATAGGCCTATTCAATAAAAATATTCGAACTATTCGATTCAGTGAAAATATTAAATTTTGCCTATACCTACTAAGGGTTATAACAAATGGCCCGCAGAGCAGTGAAAGCATTCACTGTGGGGGATATTTTGAAGTTGAAAATGAAAAAGCTTCAGTTATTAGTTTAATTTTTTTTTTTACAAAAAGGGTTATTTCATTGCAAGAAACATGCATCCACAGGAAAAATTTTATTTTTTTGTGCCACAAGAAGACTGCATAATGAATTATTCAGTATTCAACGTTAACCATCAAAAAGTAACTGCTTTCTGTGATTAAATACGTATAACTGTTTCTTGTACTATGGTATTCTTATGAAAGATAATAATACCTTTACAAACCAGTGCTTCATCATTGACTGATAAATCTGGGCAGATTAAATTGCCGATATATATCTGGTAATCGCACTTCAAATTGGAATCTTCAACATATGTTTGACAGCCATTGTCAAGACCTTGCCCTGGAAAACAATGTAATAAATGAATTTCATATTCTGAGAAAAATACAACTATTTTGTATCCATATTATAGTAGATAGTTCAGTACACAAACAGAGTTTTTTTTTCGGATATGATTTTTCTTACATATCTTTAGGAGAAAGCTGATGAGATGGCATAATCATATTAAAGACTGTACATTTTTGATCAGACACCAGTAAAGGTTGGTTGTGGTAATAGCCAACCAGGGTGTGGTAATAGCTAACCAGATAACCCTTTCCAATGCATGGTCATAAAATTCAAAATAGCTATAATCGAATCTTGTAAAACCTTCCTGATGTAGAAAAATTCTTTTTCGCTTAGAAATTCATGATTACCGATCAAAGATCTCAAATAAAATGTCAAAATGTACAACTGATTCTGCCACCACGTTTGTATGACCATTTTGACAATGTCTCTAGGGATTGTTTGACAATGTCAATATTGTAAGCACTTGACTTCTGTCTTGTCACGTAGGGTGTGTTGCATTTATATCAAAATTGAAGGACTTTGACCAAACACCAAAAAAGACTAATGATTGTGTCTGGTCATAAACTGGCATTATGGCTAACGAAACTAGATTTTATTTTGATAGATAATAAAACGAACTTCATTCCAGGGCTCTTTTATGAACTGCAGGTCCCAAACACCCAGTGGGTCGCGAAAGAACTTAATGGCGGTCACAGTCAAAGTTATGTTGGAACAAAATGTCGATCAATTGTGAAAGCGAGACCCAGCATCACTAGCCAGGATTCTATCTTTTGTGCAAGAATATGCAATCACATCAGGTATTATCAATTTTATCATATTTTTTAATATTTTCTGTATTACTAAATTTTACTCTATTTTTATTTTAGTTCCCGAGGGTTGTGAGAAAAAAAGGCTGAAGAACACTGCTCTATTCAGTCAACTGATTTTTCGATATTCTAGATCAGTGGCATTTTCTTATTTATTCAGCCACCTAGCTGTATAGTATACCTAATGGTATTAACTTGAATTGTACTGTATATATGCCTGTTGCTAGGCAAAACTGATTTACTTATTCATTACGCATTGACATTGAGGTAGTCGGTCAGAATTCATGACCTTTTTATCAATCCCACAAGTTTTGAAATTTGATGCCTGGGGTTTATAATCAAGCGTGGTCTCAATATTCATTTTGCTAAAATTGGAGCAGCAGGGAATATAATCAAATTTTTTGTGTACAATACAATGAAAACAATCCATATAAATAAAATTACATGAAGAACGCCATCTCATCTACTGAAATATAACCAAGGTGAAATACTAAAAAATCAAAAAGATGTTAAGAAACGAAAATAATAAGGTGATATTCAAGCTTACCTTTGATGTCTATGGTAAACACTTCTTTTGATTCTGAATATACAAATTCATCAAAAACTGGATCAGGATATACATGAATACCAGGTGTTTCCAGAACTTGCTCATCAAGTGTGATTGTTAACATACCTGATGAAATATCAAAGATTTTTCACTTTAACAATGTCCAGTCGAGTAAGACAAAAAGGTGAATGTTGTAATTTTAAAAAAGTTTTATTTGAAAATATTACAAATAGATAGTTGCTTTATAAGGTGGTATCTAACGAAAGTCAGAAGCAATATTAACCAAAGTATTTGAATGAAAATTTCAGCCAAGAAAAACATATTAATAATCAGGTTCACAAAAACTATATAAAGTTCGTCAAAGCCACAGACATAGTTACTGGTTTTCAGTCAAAATAGTGAAAACATTTCTTGTACTCCCTCCCTGCATATAAATTAGACCATTTCTAACAATACTAGACAAGATATAGTAAAATTTGAAGAAAAAAAATTGCAATAAATTATGGAAATAAACATGATAACTATCCTAACAAACCTTCTCTATAATTCTCCGTCACTAGAGTAAATGGTGGTGTGAAAAATGCCAAATATTCCACTTCTTTGTTTGGATCTTTCACCACGCTACAGTCAATATTTTTAGACAATCTTCTCATTGTTATTGTGACATGAGGACTTGCAACTGAATTCAGATTAGACCCAGGTATACGAATCTGAATGCCTCCACTGAAAAAACAATATTCATAGTTATTAAATTATACTGGCCAAATAGCATTAACTAGTCAATAATGACATTGTTTATTTAAGTATGTGATACGATAGATACAAAATACTGTAAATATAATCAAATATCTATTAGGTTCGCCACTAAGATTAAACTAAAGCAATACTCTAAAAATCAATTTAATTTTCTGTATTAGGTTTGCTTTCATAGGCCTATATATTTATATTTTATACAATCCATAAAAAAAGAGAATCTAGAATTATAATTGGAGCTAGTTCCACCGAAAAGGTTAAAAACTAGATGTTGCTGCTTGATGAGCAGAAGTTCTGTTCAGGGTATCTTATAGCGCAAGGTTTTAATTTCACAATAAAACAAAATTACCTGGCTATGCTTCGGAATGGGACTTTAGGAACAGATACATTTGGATTCGGCATATATGAAAATTGATCATCTGCAAATTTTACTGCATTATCTATCACAACTTTCACTTTATTTTCGCTTTTTACTGATGGTGCCCCAGCAATTGATCTTGCTGTGTTGTGTTGATAAGAAGATGTCTTGCATTGAATTTGAGATGAATTACGAGACATGATAGCACACTGTGAGCTTCCAATCAATAATTCTGCCTTGCTTCCAATGTCAAGATTATTACCAAAAATCGTAACTTTTGTACCTCCTCTCTCAGGACCTTTGATGGGGTGAAATCCAAACAATTCAATCATCTTAAAAGTGAAAGCTCCAAGTGAAAGAGTTTTATTTATTTCAAAATGATCAAAATCAGATTCAAATGGTGGAAGTGCAGCAAAAATATGCATGGACATAGGTGTGGTGATATTCTCGATATCTCCAGTAGAATTTAACCTTGTTTTAGTTTTGCATATCAATTTATTATAATTTTCCTTGTTCGTTGTCAGGCAACTTGCCGAACTACCCATAGAGACACTGCGTACTGACACAATTTGTGGATGCCGAGAAGTGTGCCCTAATGCTTGCCCACATATGGTAATATCTGTTCCTCCCTCTACAGGTCCTGAATGTGGTGTAACTGACGTAACGATAGGGGGGCATGTTTTGTTGCTCCAATTGCCACTCAATTCGTTACATGCATTTTTTGTTGTGCAATTTCGGCCATTGCAATATCCACAACCTAAGAAATCTGTCATAACACACTGTCTACATGTGGGTATGACAGTACAAAAATCTTTTAAAGATATTTTATAAACTGAAGAAAATGTCATTGCATATATTTCGGATTTTTGTACTTCCATATGCTTGGTGAAAGGTTTATCAGTAATTTTAACAACGATGTTTGGGACACCTAGTTTGTAGTAGGCACCAATGTGGTAAACACCAATATCACCAGATATAAAGCTCATTGCTAATATTGTACTGCTGCCATAGACCAGTACAGCTAAAGAAGAAGGTGCCGATACAAGAGTTGACAGATCTTCGCCTTTACTATTTAATAAAATATTTTTCCCCACAAATTTTTCCTGGGAATGGATATGGTCAGTACCCGACGGAACCTTGGGACAAACATCACCCATGGTACCATTTCCTCCTATTCCGCAGTAATTTTCTTCGCCGTTGGAAAAAAATTCCAGTCCACGATTGCCACGCTCAGACTTGCATTTAGCAAACGCTTTATCAAAAGCTGCATTTAATTCGCTCATGGAATATTTACATACGGCATATTTATTTGATTTTCCGTCGTCATCCAATCCACAGAGCAGGAAAAGGACAGTGTTTGAATCAGAATTGCTCATTTTATTTCGAGCTATGTAATCAGTCGAAACATTTGCTACGTAACCATCTATTGGGTTGCGGAATTTCCTACTATCGGATTTGCAAATCAGTGTCAGCTCCATATAACTGAAGTAACCGACATCATTTTGGCATACACGAACAAGTCGAATTTCGTTTGTTTTCGAGTTAATCTTCCTAGGTTGTTTGGTTACAAAATATGAAAATCCATCGTAGAGAAAAGCATATATATAATCTATAACATAAGTGTTTACAAACTTTTCAGATACTGATAACTCTGATCGTATTGCAAATTCTGATTCAGCAGTTTGGTTATAAAGTAACCTAAAACCAGTGAGATCTTGATCCCAAACTTTAGTTGAGATTGATTGCTGATATTGATAATCAAAACCTGCATCGAGTGTTCGAGCAATGTAAAATCTTGTTTGATTCTGATAACTTGAAACTAGACCAACAGTCGATCCATTTATGCTCATAATATACGAAGCTGAAGTCTCTTCAAAATCCTTCAATAAGGTAACATTGTGCCTTATATTTTCCAAAGCATGACGAAAGCACAATCCGTTGTGCATATCCCCACAAGCAATGAGAACATTGTTAACATCATCTATGAGCAGAAACCTGATATTGACAGCATCTTTATAGAAGTCATAATAGTAAGTCCTTATATGTGACAAATTCTTTGCAAGGTGATGTATTGAGTTAAATGCCCCCAGATATACCGAGCCATGATCACCATTCATGACCATAGAATTCAGTCCTTCATGGCTGCTAAAGCTCTCAACATGAGAGATATAAGTTTGATCATAATCTACATTTGTCAAATCAGGACATTCCACATTTGTTGATCTCGAAACATGGTATAAAAGTAACTCCAAATGAACAATATAAAAAATAAGGCACTTTCCCATCTATTAAACTAAATATGTAAATAGTCTCTGTTAAAGTATTCAGAGAAATAAAAGTTTGTTAAAATAAAGAACACCATAATTACAATGACCGCCACCCACACAATTTCTGGCTTTGATATTATTTCGGAATTAATGTTGTAAAGATTACCATTAGTAAAATCTGGAATGAAACAATAATTTTTTTATCCCTTTGGTGAATCGGATCACTTTTTAGGAGGAATCCAGAGGTGACATATATTAGATTGCGCAATTATTTATAGCTTTATATTGCAGTGCCAATTTGTGGCAATTGGGGAATGCATGTTGGTGAGCGGGTACATTATACTCATCTTGTTTTTAAAGGTTTTGCTTTCCCTCCAGAAATCTCCATTTTTAATCAGTGTGTATTGTGGAGTTTTCAAAAATAAACTATCTACTATCTATCAGACTGTATACTAAAGGGGGGTTTGTATTCACCATTATAATTGAGGTTTTCAAATATGGAGATTATTCTTGGAATCAGAGAACTGTGACATACTAACATGACTAAACAAAGTAAAACATTACCAGAATTACAAGTACAATACAAGGTTGGGGTCTCAAAAAGCATACCTACAGACTGACAGACGTAACTGCCCGCATACTGGCATAACTCATGCACATAAAACTCGCACAGATGGCAATTACTTACAAAATAAAAATAAGACAGTTGTATAGTATACACAATTAATTATACATATGACTGTATGACAGTATGAAATCCAATGTTGATAATCCAGTATTTGTCATATATCCATTTGTTTGTATTGAACATTGTCCACATTACATCATAAGCAGAGTCTGATAGTATTAAAATGTAGATAATTTTTTTATTATTTATTAGCATGGAAAAACCTGAAAAGAGAAGATTTCAAAAAATTAGACAGAAAATTCGAAAACCTATCATGCTACTAGGATTTTCTTTTTCTCTGTCTACCATATACAAACAATAACTTAAACAAACCGCCTGAAATAAAACAATCAAATTTCTTTATTTTCAACTCATTATCAATTTTTGTAGTATACAGGTATAGTAAATCATCAACAATTTCATCAAGTTGAACTCTTTGCCTTTCAAAATTAGTCATTAATATAATTACACACAAGAGTTTACATTTAAAAATAGCCCCCAAGTCCTGAAGTCAGCAAGTTACATTGCATTTGGAATATATCATCATATTTGACACTATTCTGCTATTCTTGAATTCCCATATGGTATATTTTTCACATTGAATGATTAATGATTCGCTTCACTAGGAATATTATTAGTAATAAATATGTCACAATTGATTTCCCTTATATTACACCACTGCCTGTCCATTTTCATCATCAGAACGTTTTTTTTAATTTGTCACCTGTAGGTATTAGGCCAGGCCATTATGTAAAATTTTCCAACTTGGAATTTTATACTTATTAGGGAGTTTATATTGCCAAATATTTGACCAGTAAATTGGAATATTCAAATTAAATTTTTGTGTAATTTACATCTCATACTGCCACACCAATTACTGAGAAAAGCCGCAGACAACTAACAGATAAAGTTACCGAGAGAAACCGGCTCACGCGGATAAAAGCGTCGCATGTGGACAATGGTTTATCAGGAATGTCTTAAAATTTTATTCAAAAGAGATTGCAGTTGAATGCGCGGTTTCTTGCTGGTAACGAAATTATCACCGATATTTGGAAATGCATTGAGTTTCTGAAACAGAATCGCCTTTAGCAGACAGTGTCACTTGTTTCTGCAAATGATGAAAGAAAAGGAATTAAAACAACGGCAAAATGATCGGCTGCAAACTAGAGATGTACCGATACCCCTTTTTCCGCCGATACCGATACCGATCCGATACCAGTTTAAAACGCCGATACCGATATGCCGATATTACCGATATTCCGATACCGATACTATGTAATTATTACCTTAATTAGGTGTGCTGTGTAGGGCAGACGGGTTAAAACAATGGTTAAAAGAAACGGGTTAAAAGAATATCGAATATCGCCCACACATTCTAGCGCCACCGTCCTACGTTCAAGTTAAAAGCATTTTACAAATATTTTATTTTGTGGTTATTCGTAATCGTCGCCGCAATAAAACAAAGCCACCATGAAAGAATAACAATCAGCATCGACAAGTAGAAGGCCTACCTTCAACCTTCGAGGATGTTTTTTTACTTAACTATTTTATAATATTTCACAATTGCTATCATATATTTTGAGACAATCTAGTCTTGGCGGTCATGTCATAACATCTATAAAGAAATTGTGTTTAAACAAAATTAAAATTAATACCTGGTAGACTGATAATTGTGTCGAAATTTAGTTTATCGCTGTCGACGGACTAAATGTCAGTCGCACTTGACGACAAACAGCCGGAATTTATAGCCGTGACAAAAGTGCATGTGCCGTTAATAATGACTCCAATTCCACTGTATCATTTAAAACTGGGCACGTAATTGCTTTTTGTTGATATATTTCTTCATAATTACAATGTAATATTAAAAATGTCAATATAAAAATTCGACAGCGAAAATAGTCAAATTGATTGAGCTAGTTTGGCTGATAAATAGCTACAAACAGGTGAATCCTATTTCCTCGCGGAGGTCCGGACATGTATGGCCCATAGCTCACGATCTCCCCAGACAAAAAATAAATTGAAAAGTAGTATTCCAACTTATTTTTTAAAACATTCTGGACCATATCAAAAAGGTAAATATATCGGAAATATCGGCCTTATTCTAACCGATACCGATACATGGCCGATACCGAAAAAATGGCCGATATTGCCGATACCCGATACATCGGTACATCTCTACTGCAAACGACGGCTTTACTCTTAATAGAGCTGGACCTTTTTACATGAGGTACAAACAGTTAAGGCCATGTCACTTTCAGAATTAGCCATAAATCCACTAGTAATTGACGCTTTAAAGAATTCGACAGGAAAACGAATAGGCTTATCTAATAAGAATTAAAAGGGGATTTTGCATTTGAAAGAATATGCTCAGGTAATATCAACGATGGGGGCGGGTTTGAACGAAACAGCAAAGGAAGATCTACACAACGCAGCAAATTGGCATTTCACGAACATTTCGGTACCACATCTCATATTTTGTTTAAAAAAGAATGGGAGGCAATGATTCCTCCTACATACATACGGACGCATCGGTGATGATGTGTTACAATTTTATTGTTTTTTGTTTTATATTACTTGTATATTTTACATATTAATATTACCGGTCAGAATAATTGCTGCCAGTTGGATACTTTACTTACGACACGGACTGAATGTATTTCAAATGATTTTGATGAGTTCGGATTGTTTTGTTTATTTTTACCTAATTATGTTTTGAAATTATTTTGTGTAGGCCTATTCGTATAGGAACGATAAGGCAGGGTACATAGACGTTTATTATTGTTAAAAGAACTGTAACAACGTATTTTTTATTATACAAATAACATATCAGTGTATAAGTAAAACAAGAGAGCTATGCTCAAATATATGGACACGTAGAGTCACATAATTTTGATGACGTCATAGCGAAAAAAAAAGTAATAGCCTTCTGGAGAAAATTTTTATTTTTAACCACTAAAAATTTCAAAGCAATTGGTCCAGTATTCGAAGAGAAAAGCGACTTTTTAAAAACGTGTCAAGCGGTACTGAGTTAGCAGTCAGGCAGCATCTTACCTGTACACTGTAGGCCATATACGGTAATTGATCACAGAACAGTTGTTCCCTTGCAAATTTTATGTTGTTTACACTTTAGGACAGATAATTGATCACAGAACAATTCTTCCCTTTCAAATTTTATGTTGTTTCCAGTAGACTCTCATCAAAATAAACAAATATAGTAGGCTACAAGTGCTACAACGCTTGCATTACTGCACTGGTAGGACCGTGAAAGAATAAGTTACGGTAATTTCATTGTGGTAAGACACCGGTACCGGCACCAGTACCAGTATCGTACTTACGTAATGAGCTACCAGTACCGGTTAGCAGTCAGCCAGCATCTTACCTGTACACTGTAGGCCATATACGGTACCGTAATTGATCACAGAACAGTTGTTCCCTTGCAAATTTTATGTTGTTTACACTTTAGGACAGATATTTGATCACAGAACAATTCTTCCCTTTCAAATTTTATGTTGTTTCCAGTAGACTCTCATCAAAATAAACAAATATAGTAGGCTACAAGTGCTACAACTGCACTGGTAGGACCGTGAAAAAATAAGTTACGGTAATTTCATTGTGGTAAGACACCGGTACCGGCACCAGTACCAGTATCGTACTTACGTACTGAGCTACCAGTACCGGTACCGAACCTGTAGGTCTGATATTCCGTTCCGCATACGATAGGCTATAAAACTTGCATTGCAGCATTAGTAATACTGCGGAAGGAATAAGTCAATTTCACTGCGTTACGGTACCTGTATGGCAACTTACCAGTACCGACCTACAGTAGCTGTAGTACTGAGCAAGACAATCGATCGCGAAACCGCTTGAAATAAGTGTAAAACAGTGTTCCCATGAGTAAAAATAAATACCGCGAAATTTTGTATGAAATATCATATCTCATAGGATTCATATAAAATTTAAGAATAAACAAAAGTAATAGCCTTCTAGCGAAAAAATTAATCTTTAACCACTGAAAATTTCAAAGCAATTGGTCCAGTATTCGAAGAGAAAAGCGACTTTTTAAAAACGTGTCAAAGAACAAGAACAACAAGAACAAGAACAAGAACAAGAACAAGAACAAGAACAACAACAACATAATATTGAAACGATCGTTATGTCCACTACGTGTCCAATAAGTACCGTATATGCTTAAATTGAATTTTTCATGAAGCTAAATTTATTAGCTCGAATAACGAACAGAATAATATGACAAAGACAAAATCCGAGACAAAGTCCAAATGTTTTTTGGCATTTTATGTCAAGTTTTATTGCCAAGCGTAAAGGTTAAATGTTATTTAATTTTGAAATTGCAATATAATGGAGTAACAGAAAATGTTATTCACGTAACGCTGAATATCA